GCATACCGAACTCCAGTTAAGTAATTTATCTAAAAGTATTTTTGATAGCAAACGTTAGTACCGTCTGAGGGCAGGGCCAAACTGAGACGTGTCTTCGCTCTTTCAATTACATTAAAAGCTTAATTAGTAATATTAACGAAGTGTCCCAGTTACAGTATGAAACTCTTTGGTAGTTGGTTTCAGTAAATTTTCTCTAGTGACGGAGTCTTCTGGTCAAAGTTGAGACTTCGACGAAATGTTGCTCGCAATTAGTCTAATGAAAGTAACCCTTCTTGGTAATATTTTATGATAAATAAATATTGTGGTGGAACTTTTATAGTAAAGAAATCTCAGCCGCATGCAGCGTCGTTCTGGCCACGGTCCATTTAACCCACTCGGTTTGCGTATGTACCGCAACACACACCAACTCAAGAAAGCGTTCACGTAAATCTTTTCTTCATATTGCACACACGATTACCCTTTTGCTGTATTCAAATTTTTCACACTTAAGCATAAATTAAAATGTTTACTTACTTCTATTATTATTAACTCGATATAAAATTAAGATTTGAAATATTTCACTATATAGCCTTATATTTTTTTTTGAACATAACTAAATGTTAATATGAAAGTAATAAATAATTATTTCCTAATTAAAGCAAAACATAAAATTATTACTTCTTAGAACCTTTCAATTGCATTACTTAACTTTATATAAAAACACAATATTGAAATACACATGAAACTTAAACTACTTTTAAACATTTAAGTACAACATTTTATACATTTTTGTTATTACCTTCAAAACTCATTGGATACCCCAGTCATTGAAGGTGTAGAAGGAAAAAATTTACCACACATTATTGCCTCCCAAAGCCGTCATTATTTTTAGTAAACATAATTTGATTTACCTTTGTGGCAATATACACATTTAATAAAAATCAGTTAACGTCTGCAACAGTTAAAATCTAGTACAATATGAAAATAATTACTTACCTACGAAGTATACATTAATAATGTTTTGTTTGACTGTAACATATTATTAAATACACAAAAATGAAATATTTATTAAAAATTTCATTGCATGGAAATCAAATCTTTTATATTTTATTATATTTCTTGTACGTGTATAATGGAAATATATTCCTAAACTTATTGTACAAATTAATAAATGAAAAAACATTGAAGCATTATTTTTACTACCTTTATCGACAAGTTACTTAATGTAAGTGATCTTTTTCTATACTACATTTCTTTCCTCTGTTCCACGATAAGACATCTTTCATCTCAAACTGTTACTGCAATTAGAGACTTTAAGACCTAGACAGCATGCTTGATAATTGTCCGTAAGAAATGTAACTTGTTGCTCCTTGTTTTTACTAACATACGAGCAATTTGTAAGTCCTAGTTGTCTTTTACTTTACATTTTTTTTATTTTGTCCTTTATTAGTGTCTATACACTTTTTACCATTATTGAAAAAATTGTCATCGAAAAGAGTTACGTCGCAATTTCAATAATTGTTTATAAAAATCACATTACCATATTGAAACTTAATAACAAAAAAAAATGCCCTCATAAGAGACTTGAGAGGCGAATGAGCGGTTCAGCTTTAATGCAATGAAGATTGTATTACAACGTTGAAATTTACCTTATTAATTTCATTATAGCAAAATAATCACGTCGGTTGCCTTGGCTGATCCTCAAAATTATTAATAGGTATACTCTTTCTTGCTTTCAATATTTACAAAGATAAAATGTATTTTTTTAATAATAATAATAGCCTAAACTAATATAATCTTAATTTTATTTTAAATGCAATGGTAATTTTGGGCTCAATAAAGAGTTACATAATCAAATATTTTTTTTACACAAAACTCGATACATAAATATAAATTTTCTTTCAAATGTCATGAAACAATTTTTTTTTAATTTACATTGCCGCATTTTAATTGTGATACAAATAAAAAAAGTAATATTTAATGAATATATAATCCAAGATATTTAAAAATTTTCTACTGTACTTGTGGAACATGCTTTCTGAAATAGAATTACTAAAACTTTAAAAAGCATATTTTTCTTCGGTAATAATACAAATAAGATCTAAGCTTGCATAAATAAAATTATGCATAAACGGCACTTTTGTAATTTCAGCCATTTGTATTAATAATCCTTAAAATAATAAATGGTTTATTAAACGAATGGATTATGTTCTGTATCTGGGGCTTTCTGCTTGTCTCATAAATCTAATATTTAGAATATTGTCTTATTTTCTTAGCCAATGTTAATGTAATGAAAAAGACTTTGGCTTTTTTTATCATGTTTGACCTTATAGTTTAATTTTCATCAGAAAAACATTTTAATAAAATGGCTATATTCTCTTTATTCTTTAAACAAAACAATCACTACTTTACTATGAAGAAATACAACATTCGATACTTAAAACAAAGAATTCGTATCTTTAAAAATATGATAACCAAGTCAGTGGAAAGTTTTCTCGTGACTTTCATATAAACCTAGTTGTTGGGACGCGTTAGTACGCACTCGTAATTGCGACTTACCTCCGACCTCGCGACATCCCGCTTGTTTCGCAATCTGATCGAACTCCTAAATTATAGCATCTAACTTAGCAGTCTTTAAGCCGAAGATAACTTACGAGAAGCGCTTCTAAGTAATGAGTACATGTGAGATCTTTGATTAGGTAGATGTAATTAATTATCTTTATCGATATATGCTAAGTTCTACTGCAAATTTATTTTCACAAACCAAACATTTAGAAATATTAAAGATATTCGTGAAAAACTACCTCATTATTGTAATGTTGTATGTAATTTGTCATAGTCTTGGTTAACTTTAGTTGTAAGCGAAAAAGGGCAAAGTTTTCCAATTACCTTTTCGACGCCCCATTCAGAAGAAATTCGGTGCTCTTTGAACAAGCGATTCTATGAAAAGAAATCACCAAATAGGTGAGCGCAGGTATACTCAAGAGTAAATATTTGCGTATGTAAACTGAAATTATTCACGAAAAAAACTTTTAATGGCGTCCCCGGAGTTCCCGTCAAACATTTATCAACAAAAGAACGAACGTCCCGCAGGCGATAGAACTTGAAATGTATGGAAATTACCCAGTCACGAGCGGGAGAACAATTCACTAACGGCATAGGCAAATGTTTTTGTCGCAGCTTGTTTCGTCGTATTTAAAGTTCCATAAGCAGTAAGACATGGATTATGGCTCTACGCAAGGCAACTTGTTTATATGCCACCCGCTTGTAAATACTAAATGTTATATTGAACAAATAGTCAAAGAACATGTGTCTTATATGTGTCAAATTTTAGAGTTGTGATATTCAGAATAATTTTTTTAATAGCCTTAAAATATTATGTATTTTAATTAATAAACTAACTCAGACCGCAAAGTAAATTCTAATCTTAAGATCTTCTATCTGTGACTGGAGAGTAAATATTAAATTATTAACAATTTATGAATAGAGTAAACGTAGCTGTGAAATTTTCTATCTACAGTATCTCGGTACGTAAAGAAGCAGCTGGATTAAAGTTAATGTTAATATTGATATTATAACTGTTTAATTTTGAAAATTAACAGCGATGTTGAATAAAATAAATAAGTTTAGAATGAACACGATTCCATTTGCATTTCAATCAGAGTGATATAGCCGGTGGGAAGGAAAATCCGCTTCGTCGCCTCACTTAAAGCTTTCAAATATTCCTATAACTTTTGACTCAACGGGAAAAAAAAGCCTATTTGAATTGGAAAGATCGAAGCGTATAAATTTAACGTTACAAAAGCGCGTCAAGATCGTCCAAAAACGCGTCAGGTACTTATTATTTCAACAGAGACAGTGTCTCATCTTCTCCCTTATTCTGTTTGTCTTTTCGATTGTTCCGGTGCATAGACTCCTCCATTACTCGGCACTGAAAGGAAAGTTTTGTATTCAATTTGGTATTATAATTCCTATTTGAAGTCGCCACGCACCATTGCGCCGACATCTACTATGTAAATGGGTGCTTCCGGAACTTGGTCGCGTTCACACCAAGAACCTCAAATATTTTTGTCTACAAAACATCCACCGTATTTTAAACCTTTTCATAGACTTTCCTGTAAGCCTAAACGTCACAACAGAGTTTGTATATATGAATCAATAATACTCAAAATATCCAGCTCCCGTATCCCATTTATTTATTCAAACAGTTGTAAGTTTCTCGGTTTGTGTAAATATTTCCGCGCACTCGTCTGACGTGAATTTTTATTCATCTGCACGCTGCCCCGGCAGGAGACAAGGCAACATTTCTGAGTTTCTCTTCAATTTAAAATGAAAACTTATCCCCGGGCTGCCATAAAGTCTGCATTTTCTATAGAAATCCACCCGGTTCATGCATTTGATCCTAACCGGTGTCCGAGATGAATCCACCTGGATTTAGAGAGCGTACATTGGCTGAACGCTGCCGGTGAGAGGGACTTGCATCTTATACCGGGACAGGTTTTATTTTACGAGATGTTTTCCACGACCGTTTCGCAGATACTAAAATAATAAGACTTTTACGTCGCCGCGTATTATGTAGCTTTTATGACCCTCCGAGCTCGACTGAAGCGCTGTGTTACGAGGGTTCTTGTGACGAAATAATTAACCCAGTATTATTCGTATTAGAGTCTGCTTCTATCTAACTTAACCTTCTATGCTCCGTGTTTTATTGCTGCAATTTTGTATTGTCATAGAATATTTATAACGTCATTTTGTTAAGATTTCCCTTTAGGGAAGTGGGAAAACGTAAGGTATATTATTCTATGAAATTTTAATTCTTTGTTTACTGATATATCTTTAAGTATTCATTTTATTTATAAATAACAGACACTCATACAACTTTGAAGTGTAAACAGCTAAAATCACCGAATGTAAGGCTGAACGTCTATATTCAAGTAAGAGACAAGGGACCGATAACAGATTACCCGCAAACACGTTTTAAATTCATTTCCCAACCCGAGAGCCTATCGCTCCCAGATAAAATGTGGGGGACCTTCGGGGACCACTGGGGAACGGGGACATATTTACTTAGACCCCCGCCCGCGGCCACTTCCCCGTCCAGGTAACATACGAAGTGGCAAAATATTTGGACGAAGGCCTCTTACCTTTCCATTCGGATTTATTGTACTCGATCGCACTCTAGATATTATCACTTCCTATGCTCTGCACTTGTGGCAGTTAAACATTTATTACAGTCGAGTCTAAATACTGGTCTTAAAAGTAATATAGTTTATATAAATAACATTACAAGCGAATTTTTCTTTCAAGAATTAATGACTAAAACGTAATAATATTTCTAACATAAAGCGTGATTTTGTAAATGCAATAAATTAATGAATTAATTATAACATTTATTACATTTCACATCATTAAAAATGGTATAAGTCAGTATATTTCTACGTAAAGATAGCTGTATGAAACTCTGTTTTTGTATTCAGTAAAACCGGCCCAGCTTTAACCATACAGCCCTTACGAACAACTTGCCCACTAAAGATAACTCCATTAACACGTCACGATGTTTTGACTCCAGCTATTTTGAAACAAGGCTCGAACACTTAATGTAATCCGGTCAAATGCTTTGTGTAGCTTAAGAAAGTTTTTCAATTTTCACTATTGAATTATACCAATAGCATGTTTTGTTAGTGTTATTAGATATATTTAAATTGATATTAGAATTTTGTTTCCACTACTAGATTGATGTGTTCCATAAAAATACTTCACAAATAACAAATTTTATCAGACTATTTCTTACATAGCACGGTAAGCCTACGCTGGAATTACACTGTTTTTTTTTAATATATAGTCAATTACAAAAAGAAAAGTATAAGAACAAGATAAGATTAACAACAAAAATTTACAATGAGTACACTGGTAGAAGATTTATTAGAGCCTAGTAAAGATGAAGTGATGGTTATAACCTCCTTCAATGGTTTCAGTGATGATCGAAGGAGTCATCACTCCTTACTACATTAACAGAAACAAGAACTGATGATGATGTGTTAAGTATAATTGACTGTTGATTGGTAGTTTAGATATCTTAGCATTTCACCCAGGACATACATCTTTCATTACGGCGTTTTCTTTGAGTAAGCAGATATGGTCCAAAATTAAATTCAACAGATTTTTATTTTTATTACCCACTACGACAGCCAATTTATGTACCCACTACGATAAATGGTTGAATAAGAGTTAATTTCTGCTATTGTTGGTGTTTGGTATATTATTATTGCATTATTATACTGCAAAATTTCAGCAATACTATAATATTGATATATTTTATTATTTAATTGTGTTGGTAGGATTATATTTTACTAGTGCTGTTAATAAGTTATTTAAAAAATTCAAAACTTTTTGAATGGATGATTTCTTAAATATTAACAAAGATCTGAAATAAAAACGAAATTTGCATCTCAAATGTTATGTTTTATATATTCGTGTATAGCACATTGTTTCCTTTGTAGAAAGATGTACCATTTAAGGTGCCTATTCATAAAGTGAATATTTGATGTTGAATCCAGTTTGTATTTTGAATAACCTGATTTAAGTGTTTTTATCGACTAGGTAAACTGAAAGTATAAATAAAATTGAATTTTTATCAAACTTTCTGTTCCCAAAAATATAGCGCATAGTTTACTTACTTAAAATATTACAAATGTCAAGACATTACTAGTACATTCAGAAGGTTGCTCAGTAAAAATATATCCCTTGTTTGTAGTGCTATTGCAAACATTGATTTTAACTGTCATCATTTGTAATTTATTTATAAATATTTTTATGATTAAACTTATACATGTAAACATCGTAAATATGAATGTTAATACTAGAATAGACAAAATAATAATAATTTAATCTGTTGCATAAAACGGTCACCGGTTAGACTTTGAAGCTGCAAAGTACAATGAGACTAACATTTTGTATTCCTTTATGTTTTACGATCGGGAATGGCATATATCACAAACATGCTACAAGTATTCCGTGTTTTATCTGTAACCACTGAAGCATACAATTTTAGGATGCCATATAACAAATCCGTGAATATATCTGAATAATACTCGACCTGCTCTTAACATTACATTGTTAGACTAGATTAAATAATTTTTATATTTATTATGACGTACATTTTGAAGGCTGATAAATTGAAGTGATCTTTTATTTTGCTTAACTGATACTTCACATGTCTATATACTAAATCGGAGACAAGGGCCTTAAAACAACAACGAAACACGTGCCGTGTACCGAACTGAGCATAACATTCGGTAGGCAGAAGGAAAATATGAAAATGCGGAATATTGCCCAACGAAATTACGATCGCTTTGGATTCCATTCCGCCCATTGAGGGTTGAATTGTTACCTTCCTACATTGCTTTAAAGAATCTATTTGTTTTTTTTTCGCACCACTTTAAGATATCGATTGTTCCCTTGCGAGATTGACAGAGATACTGTACGTGAGTTCAATCAGACTCCCCTATATTGAACAATAGCTAGAGTTTTAATCATCTATTTTCTTCTAGTATTCTTAACTTCATATGATAAGCTTAGGTAACAATTATTCATTATATTAAAATTATCTTAATAATATTCTGAATATTAAAATAAAAATAGAGTAGTAGCAGTAAAGTAAGTTGTATAGGAAGTTTCTTTAGAATTGAATATAATTCACAAGACAAACGGCTTTTGAAAGTTTGACATTTTCTCATTAGGTTCAGAAGACTAAGTCTCATACAAGTCATATCTACATAGTATTACTTTGTAACATTAATAATTACGTATTCCGTAATACAATAAGAAGCAGTAATAGTTCGATTGTTAAAGCTTCTTAAAATTTACTGAGCCGATTCCCTACATAACTTGGAGACAAGAAGTATAAGTAACTAAGTACTTACCTTACCAGAGCCCGTAGTCAATCATAAAGGAATATTAAATGAGATCGTGTAATGTTTCACGTTGGATTAAACATAATAAAAGGGGTATAATAGCAGTAATTATACAAAATGTATTATTTATCAATATGAAACCACAATACCCATTTGTATTTGTAACAAAAAATTTGGAACTTTTGTTTCCGTAGCTACGGCTGGTCTGATGTTTAACGATAAATAGCGATCATTACCCGTTTCTTATAGTGACATTAAGCTTTATTGGATGCACTGAGCTAACTCAATCTCCCTCAAACAAAGCGCTTTCAGATTAATCGACAAAGTGTTATTAGATACTTACATTGCCTTAGCTATAAGAAATAAATACCAGGCTATAGTTCTATTATTGTTTACGCTTGAGTTTCTATTCATAGTACTGTAACGTTGAACAAAGTATTTGTATCTTCAAAGTATATTTAAATATTTTCAAATTTTTACAAAAAAGAAAATTTGTGTTATTTTCTTCAGTGTCATATTTATTAATTTATCTCGTATACATGAATGCCTCCTCTAAATAACACTCGATTTCTCTAGTAGCTTTATGCTTTTATCACATAACTTTTAAATAGTCCAGAGTAGTTTTAACCATTATAGTTAATAAAAGTTGTGCAATGTATGTATTATTATAGTATTTTTCAACCTTATCTTAGGGTGAATGCAAAATATCATTGAAGTTAATTGCTTAGGAACAAATAACAATTAGTTTCTAGTATCGCGATATCGGAAGAGTCAAGTTAGTTTAGGTATCTCAGAGCATTACAAGTTGAAATGGCATGCGACTTGCGTTCAAGCGGTAAACGTCTGATGTCTCTATTCATTACTAAAGTAACCCACCCAGCCCTGGCAACTTAGTTCACACAACTCACTGTTCCTACTTTCCCTATAAAGTAGAGTTGTGACAGCGACTAATGTCTCCTTATATTGTTCTGGGGCTAAGAGGTTTGCGTCTTTAGATGAGAATTGTTAACTTTTACGTCAGGTCTCTAGGCGATTTGTAGTAGCCTATCATTCAATGCTATACAAGATGTTTCTACGGAAACAACAAAACATCTAACTGAAAATGTTTTCTACGAGAGTTATTAATGATCGGCTCTCTGGCATTCGGCTGGAGCAAAGAGTTTTCGTTAATCGATCTGGAGTATCGATTATGAAGTTTGAGTTGAAATCATCGGGTGCCGGTGGCCGCTTGACAAATACCCGTTATAAGCGTAGAACAAATTGGTGCAATTAATTACCGGCGAGGCTGGCAGCGCTGAGCCAACAAATATTATCAAGATCGTTAGTTTCGACATCTTACTCCAGGATGATATTAGGAGTGGGAGATGAATGTGCGGTGCATGACGTGACAGGACCTATAGCAGCCTTAATGTACCTCATCTAATTTGATTGCAAGCTCAGTTATGACGTCACTTATATGAGAATTGCGTTATACTTGGTTTTGTCATTGTTCTATTTGCATTCGTCTTTAACCTGTGTTTCATACAATATCTATGGTTTCCACATTAATATAACATATATAGACTATGATATATAAATAATTAAATTAATCTATAATAAACGTATATAAATAATTAATTAATTAATAATAAACGTAGTGCAATATTTTTAATTTATATCAATAACCTTGTTTATTAAGGAACAATAACAAACTCGTAATATATAATTCGAACATAACACAACGCGTCTTAATCAAAAGTATATTGTATCATATAAAAACGTTTAAGTGCGTTTTCAACGGCGGTTATTAAATTAAATCATAATTTATACACGTCAAGTTAAATCATAGAGAGAAGTCGTGAAAGAAAGATAAAAATATATATTATTAGCCTTTAACGACTATGCTTATGAACCAAACGGCACCATATTGTATTCCTTTTCATATACGTTTATTCTTCTGCAAGAACAATGACGTCATAAAGGCAAAGTGATTTTTCACTTTTATCATAGAGGTTCTATAGCTGCGTTCCCCGAGGCAACAATGTACGATGTCTTCCTGAATATCTGCTATATTATTGGATATTTTTCTACTTAAGAATTGTTTATGTCTTAAGCGGTATTTAATAATATTCGCGCATAAAGTAGGGTAATTGATTACCTATCACGTAAACACTAAGAAACAATAGAAGTTTAAATAAAAGCCGTTTAATTAACTGATGGTCTCGGAACTCGGGGTAACAATATTGCGATTTAATGTTTTGTTCTAAAATACGTATTCCATTGATATTTAAGCACTATTCGCGTGTTATTATTACACGGTCAAAACCGTTGAATATATATCACTAACCCTCATTAATAAAATAAGATACATCGTACGTATCAGTTGTATTTCTCTGTTATAAAAAATAATCCTTTTTTAATAATAGTAGTGTAGGTAAACTTTAAGAATACGATAATTCGGAAACGGAATCGATTAACGCTTTGAATAGATTTAGTGTCGCATAAATATTTCATGTGACATCGATAGTTGGTTATCGGTAGTGTTTACAGCCTTCATAAAAATGGAGTCGAGAGCAATGTTTTTATTGTCATTTTATTATCGTTATCAATTGCTATCTTTCGTATTTTATAGACAAAAAAAAACCTACCAAAAAAACTTTTGTTAAAACTAAATCAGGATGAAAGTTGCAAATATATACATAGTACAACACTAATAATTGCCCTAATTATCTTCTAAGAAGTCATAAGATTTAAAATCCTAATTAGATCACCCCAAGTTATTAAGTATTGATTAAAAGTTGGTTTGCGGGTCGCGTACCAAAAAGCGTTGAAATTATACCTAAAATAATATTGACTCAAGCAATCTGTAAAATAAGGTTCCCCTACTGAAATAACAATAAAATCTTGGCGACCCATCTTTGAGTATTTTCGCGGAACATTTTAATATCACTAATAGATTATACGTATTGATTCTTTACAATGGACTCTGATACTCTTGTTAGATAAAGTACTTATGTTACTACCTTTTTTATATTAAAAATATAGCATATTTCGTATATAGTTTCTATATTACTTAATTTTTAATTATTACACTTTATGAAATAATGATCTGAAAGAGAATGAGGTTTTTTTAAAATTATCAATACATTTTAAACATTCATAATATGAAGTATTAATTGACCAATTAAAATTATTACTTTTAATAAAACAATAAGAAGTAAAGCCTGTAATAAACAATAAGAAATAAAGTTCTTGCGACTAACCCTTAACTCTCTCGTTCATTATTACCGCTACGAAAATTGAGACTAAGTTTTTATTCGTTTCAATCTAGTAAAACATAGTTGTATTACAGAAGTCTGCTCTACAGTTAAGCTAAGACTGTCAAACGATGCAGACTAAAGCAATAAACCTTATTTATGTTTATAATGGCAAAAATGTAATTTCAACTGACCATTATCACAGCTATTTTGTAATAAAAAACCAATAAACAGTTGTATATTTCCCGTCAGAAAAGAAACTCGAGCCAAGTCGCCCGCTCTGAGTAAACCTCACCTTTTATATATATTTTATTTCTCATAATATTCTGATACCAAGGGTTCTTGTATCACATTTATTCAAAAGACATATTGGAGTAACGTTTCAGTATGTTTTCATCGAGTGAATATACCGAATTTTCTTTGGCAAGTAAAACCATTATTGCCGGCATGTAATACATTTTTTCTATTTTAATCATATACATACTACATACATATATTGTTGTTATTTATGATTCCTTTGGTCGCGATGTCTCTATAGCTGTAACAAATATATGCCTTAAAATAATGTATGTACTATCTGGAATGCAAATAATTGTAATTAAAATATTGAAAAGTATATTTCTGAATTTTATTAACAATGAATTATACTTTGTTCGGTCAATTTTATTATTTCTACATATTGTTATATGAATACTCACTCGGTTTATGTTTTTTCATTTTCCATAAGAAAAAAAATTGAAGTCGAAGCTGTTCCTATCTTCGTTGAAGAAAAATTAAGTTTATTCTATTTTACTGTCACTGTAAAATTACTACAAGAAATAAGATACAAAGTTGACATTTACCTTTGTCTAAAAGAAACAGTTTTTCAAAACTCCTACAAAAGCAATATATTAATCTGTTTTATAAAGACGCTTTTCGTTGTGATTCTAATGTAGACATCTTAAACACAGTTAAAAGGGCAGAGATCGCAAATATTTATACATACATAATATAGTCACTTTCATGCTAAGAGAGTTACAATCAAATAAAAATGTGATTTTACTACCATTAGAACGACAACTTAGCGAACTCAGCAACACGTGGTACGCGAAAAAACTATAAATAAACAAAATGTTCTCTGTGAGCAATTTTGTCTCTTTCGTATTGTGAAAAAGCATTAGGAATGACGTGTGGGCTTTATTAAGTGTCTCATGTGACTGATGTCCCAGTGTCGGCAGGTGCGAGCGAGTGATATCCAGCCGCATACAGATTAGCTGAACGAACAGCAACATGCTGACGGGGCATTGTTAACGCTAAATGTGACTGAAACGGCCACTATGGAATTTTGGGTCTTCTGTATCGGCAACGAACGGGTTATTCAGGGGCAGAACTTGTATTTGTTCTCTGTTATTATCTTTGTATAAACCTGCTAGTTTCAAATTGCAATCAGACATAAATCCTAGCATTGACAATTTCATAACCTGAAACCGACATCACTTGGACGATGACAATTTTATTCTCATTTTAAATCCGCAGTTCGTGACTCGTCTACCAACATTTATTTGTACATTTGCTTTATTACGTGGGGTGATTTATGCTCCGGCCCGGTGCGTTTAACTGCTGAGCCCTGTCATTTCCTCGTCTTAAATTGAGATTGATCCGATGATGGGGTGGTTGACAGCATTCGCGTGATGTTAATTTTTGTTTAGTTTTCTTCATAATCTAAGTTAGCTGTGTATACAAGCAATACCCAATATTATGACTCGACATATACAAAGACACGCAAAGAAAGACTATGAAAATATATCAAAATATTATAATTAACAAACAAAATATTAGTAGTAATATATCAGAGTAGTAGTATCAGGTGTCTGGATGTTTTGTTTATTTTTAAATATGAAAGACAGCATATAAAAGTTTTTTTCTTTTTGTTACAGAGAGGCTCAGACGAGCTTCTTTCGCAGAGTGGCGTCACCGTCATGGCGCCCGCAGCTCCACACCATGCTGACAATAATAACCAAGATTCCGCCGCCAAAAAGGTATACCATACAGTCATTATTATATAATTCAACATAATGTTAGGTGACTAGTGTTCGTGTATGTAATACATTTATAGGATAAGACTTCTATTGAGACTTGACGTTATCTGACTGGGAAAAGATATTCTGAATATGTAAGCCGGAAAAATCATTTCTAGTAGGTCTGTAATACCTTCTTTTAGTACAATATTGCAATAAAAAAGTTAATCCAGCTGAAGCATGCCGTTATTGAAAATAAATACATAAACCAACGTGAATCAATATAAAGTATGGATATAAAGTAAAAGGCGCTCGTGAAAGGCTAGCAGGCCATAATGGGACATCCGTAAAGGCCTTAAGGGCAGAATTTTTAATATTCTCTACCCGAAATGTAGATACTGGATTTCTAACTCTGAATTGAAATTGAATTGATTTTAGGAAAACCGTCCCTTATTGATTTTTATTCTTTTATTGGGATGTCCCCATTTCTATAATCACTTTTAGCGATATCTATTCCAAGTATTGACGAACCTTACAATATGAAGTAAAAACAAAATGTACAAATAGATATATCGAGTTAGTTGTTGTAGTGTAGACTAGTTTTTAACCTTTAACAAAAGTGGTATTAAAAGTTTTCGTCGATGTCTGTGTATGTGCGTGTGTGACCGTATATCTATAGTATAACACCTCTTAAACGTATAGTCCCATTTTTTAATATGAAATTCAATTTCTTGGAAATTATTCTTAAATGTGAATGGTGACAATATCGGACCGTATCAAACGTATCATCTTTTTTGGAAAAATTTCTAAAACATTTTTGCCCTATAATTGCTCGATAAAGAGTATCGTACGTGTCGCTATAATTCTCAAATAACAATTAATTTGCCAGGTTTTCTAAAATATTATAAAATTTACAGACCGTAAAGTACCTACTAAATAAAATTAAAATAAAAGTAAACTACTTTTTTTTTCAAGGTTCAGTGTGAGATCCATCCAGACAGACTTTATATTTCGTCAAAATTTTAGCTGAAACATAATAAAAATAAACACTTGTTTTTCCGGTTTTCCATTGCATAGTTTTTCGAGTATATTTACATAAACTGTACGCACGCGGCTAGTAAATGCACACTTTGTTTGCCGCTGAAAAAACAACACAAGTTTTTGACCCACTTTGATCAATAAATGCTTTGTGTAAAAAATTCAGATCTAAAACTAAATTACTCAACAAAAACATTTTTCACTTATATCTGATACACCTATCAATATATTGTTCAGTAGTGTCATGTTTATATCTTTTATTTTATAAATATTAACAATTTTTATATTATATTATAAATGCAAATTTTTAAAGCATAGTTTTTAAATTACAATTGTTTGAAGTCAATTTTGAAATGTTTATAAACGACACTTTGTCTTCCAGTAATAAAATTTGTTAACCTTAAATTTCCTGAAAAGTAATTTCACGGTAATGGAAAAAAATAAAGAAAACAATATTCACAAAAATAATTATTCATTTAGGCTAAGAAGTCTTGAGAGGATGACAAGGGGACATTACTAATGTATAAGTATTCCGCTCGGGCCATTGTTGTGTTATTGTAAACGGAAAATTGTGAAAATATTTCGCCGCTTGAACTATTTATGTCAGGCTCTTTTATAACAGCTGACATAATGACCGGTGACATGGGAAATAAACTGCCTACGGGAGAAGAAAAATTTCTCGCCGGTGAAACATTTAGGTGTATAAATAACACCGTGTTAAAGATTTATTTGCAACTTTGGGGACATGAAAACAAACACTGTATAGAGCTTTTTTAAAAATAAATCATACACAGAAATAAATACCTAAATTATACTTAAGAACACTACGTTTTTTATATAAATAATTCACATACAAATAAAACAAGTAATGCCGCTGGTTAGTTTTGTCCAGTTATTCTTACTTATAGCGCTCAGAAAAGCCTTGCCTCAGTAATCTTAATTTCATTGTGATCTCGTTACGCCAGCCCTAATTCATAATTAAATAGAGACGTGTCTCCGGGTCACTTATTTACTTGCTATTTTTATGGCGTTGCGATTTCGTTCACTTTGTTTTTCATTGCAAAATTTTGACAGTTTTTATCGCCACACTTTCTTCTTTATCACACTGAATATTCATTTAGAATCCATCAGCGGGAATGGTGACCCGTTTTAAAGAGTGTTTTTTATGTTGTTCCTTTGTGTTAGTGGAAAACAGGTCTTAGTCCTTTCATGCTTTCACATATTGTATGTTATACATATATAGTAAGAAATCCTCAAATTTCTTCTATTATTAAATAACTAATAATGAAGTAATTAATGGTCTGTTTAAAAACACTAACCTTCCTTATTACATACTTCTTTACTGTTAAAAGAAGTAATTAATTATTTCCAGTATTTTTATTCTATTTCTTTGACGTCACGCCGTAAAAGCTGTGAAAACTCAGTGGGGAGGAGATCAATCAAATCAGAGAATGTTGCTAAATGACTACTTAACCAATTTAGACTTGTCATATAAAATTTTATATATCTTTCACCCACTTTGGTTGCTTTACTTTATTTAAATATATTTCATTTTAAATTTAAGTTAATAAAGTAAATTTGTTGTGACAGTGTTATACTTCATGTACCTGTGCGGGAACTTATAATTCGTTAATTATAAATGAAAACACATTAATTGATAATTACTTTTTTGACTAGTTTAATGCTTTATAGTCTAAACTAATTTTAAATTTAGATTAAAATCATATTTAATAAACTTAGGTATTAATTATTTTTTCTTTTAATATGTGAAAATAAAATATTTGATTAAATGTCATATATAAATTAAAGATCTCAACTATTTCTGTTAAATAAAACATACCTAATGTAAAGCATTTATTATGAAATTCTTATCATCAGTTTACTTCATAATTTAAGGTTTCTATTTATTCAGCTCTGGTCTATATCTACAGTATTTTCGGTACATGCATTCCTAGTTATTTAAAAATATTTATATTATACAATTCCTTAGCATAGTATAATATTCATGATAATTATTTTATTTTTCACTTTACTAGCTAGAAGAGACATTTATAGTCCTGTCCCCAAAGAAATATTTCCTCTTATTAATTAATATAGCGCATAAAGAGCCTTTTGAATTTCTTTTCGCATTATGTGAACCAAGAGCAGATTATTAATTATGAGAAAATGCCTTTTTTACCTCTATGTAACCTATTTATTTTCTCTTATTCCATTCAAAAGACATATATTATGTTCTGTAATAATAAATATAAAATCTATAGTTGTTCTGAATTTTATCATAAAGGTAAATTACTAATAATACAAATGTTGCTAAAACTAAAAACTTTGAAACCGTCCGCGGATCTTGAATTTATTACAAGGTAAAAGTTGGTGGACATTTACTAACAAAATAATCTCAAGGCTGCCAATTAAAAGTTTTAAGGGTGAAGTTATTTGATATTCCGATTTTAATAATCATGAAATGAACCAGTATGTTTGTGCAATACTTGCTTCTTGCGGTAATAAAATTAACGGCACATTTTTATTAATTACTTATAATGAATTTGAAGTACAGAGATATGAGGAATTCTTATAAAAGTTAAGGACATAAATAATCTACAGACTCGAGACTTAATCACTAAAAATGACTTGAAAATGACTTTAAAAATGTAGTATACTTGAAACAAAAAAAAAATCGAAATTTAAAGGAGGCAAATCCAATCGTGGATTAAGCAATAAGATATTGTATAGAATTGGTAGAGTTCACATTTTATTATTTATGAATCTGTAGAATTGAATAAGTATTTTTTATATATATAATATTTACGGGTAACATGTTACAAAATTCTGAAAGCTATCTAGGTATAACAACTTAACTTGAAGTAGCACAGCAATTTGCCTCGAATGCACTTACGTTAAACCGCTCGTAAAACTTCTGGAATAAGTAAGTACGCGAACTGATGGACTTGACTATTTATAATATTATCTGCTTAAATCATCCAAATATTTGCTAAATTCGTTTAAAAGTGAAATATATATTTTACATTGAAATTACTTATAATAAAATATGTAATATAATTTATACTTGATGTGTTTCAAAATTACTTCAACTTTTTAAAATGTATTATTTAAAACTACCTTCAACCCTAAGGTGTGCGGGGCGGCTTATCCTAAGCAACCCCAACCATTTTCCAAGTCCATTTTGTCAACAACCGTAATATGTGTTCTAATCTTTAATCTGCCTCCCCTAATATATTTGAAAACCGAATGAGGTCATTTTATCCTTTATATTTTATACGACAACCCACTTTCATTAAATATGCATTTGATTTCTCATTTTAGCAAAAACCAGTTAAATTATTTTATGTCAAAGTAAAGATCATTTATACCTAAAATATATACAACATAGAAAAATTTGTAAGAAATGAAATTGATAAGGGTCCACGATCCATCGAGAGGCTACAGAGTGAGAAATATTATTTCAGTAAACACGGGGATTCAATCATCAGGAAAATTGACCAATTCTCTAGAATCCTTGTAAGAAATGTGACACAATACCTTTTTTTCAATTCCAACAACCTAGTTTTAATATTTATGTATGAATTGTGAGACAGAGCGAATGATTTAAAGTGTCTGATGTGGAAATCGTACCTCGCAGATTTTCTGACCCACGAAAGTAATGCCCTTTCTTATGTTTTACGTACCAGTTGTTTTGTTTTCTAACAGAAAGTACAGAAAGGTGAACGCACTCCTCCGATTTATTCCTCCTTTTTCAACTGAGTTTGGAAAAATATTTTTTTATTTATTTACTTACGGAGATTTGCTTCTTTTGATGTCGATTGTAAGATTCGTTTTGTTAGGATACAAGATGTCTGTTTATTTTTCTTTTGCTTAGCAGTTTATTAAGTTTGTATTAAATCTTTTGATTAAAGGTGATTTTGATAATCCGTAAAGCGTATAGATTAAATTTATAATAAGTATTATGGAGGGAAATAAATAATATACTTCTAATTTAATATTAATATATCATTTTCTATAGTTTTTTTATAAAACTAACAATTTGTCGATGATAATATAATCCCTTAGAAACAAAGCGTCTAAAAAGGGCCTGCTCTCAAATCCATACTACACAAGTAGTGAATCTCTTTGATAAAGTAGTCAATGACTAACTAACGGTCTGCTCATTTGTCAGACATTTACGCTTCGCCGATAAAAGGAACATAAAGGAATTTTCCTCAGAATCCTTGAAAAACTTGAAGACTCGAGATATTTCTTCTTTAGTGAGTTGTATTTCAACCCAAAGGACCTTTTATATTCCAGTAATTCTGTTATCTAAATATATTTATATAAAAAGTATTACTTAAGTCAACAGAAAGTTAGAGTTTTCTATTCCCATTTAATGGTATTCAAGTTTCAATGTTATAAATCAAATCCTTATAAAGGTAAAACAAGCTATAACGGTCACATTCTATAACAGACTTTATTGTTTTAAAATAATCCTAGGTCTTGCAATGTGTTTCAGAATTTCGAGCAAATTTTACTAACACCCTTATAACTAAAAACTTCTCGAGAAAACTTTTTTGGCTTTTAACTTTTATTCTACCAATAATAAAACGTATGATAAATGTTATTTGTTAGTGGATATTTGATTGAGATTTGTAAAAGATGCATTATATTTTACATTAAAATGAATTATATTCATTTTGGATTCCTTTCGGAACTGTGGAAAGTATGCCGTTCAGGTAACTTTTTACACTTCAATAGAAAGAAAAGTGTCATATAAAGCTACAATATATCGGAGGCTTCGTTTCGGGTCGACCGTAATCAAAAGGCTCTCCTGGGAACAATAGCGCCCACATCGGGTCGAGACCGATAAGCCTCAACAATTATACTACATCGACTTTTCAATTATCTAACCGACTCTTCTCGCTAACAATACTAACTTTATTTATCTATATTAGAGCGGTCATTTTGTACGCCACTTAAAAAGGAATACAAACACTCATCACTTGAAAAAGATGCATTATCTGGCAGACAACAAAGCATGTTGTTTCTAAAATCTCTATCTACAAGTTGAGTGTCAATCTTATAGTCGTATATTCATTAAAAGTAACATACAATATATTTAAAATAATAAAAAAAACGTAATTTTATTTTATATTTCAAATTTAAATTAATCTGTATATAATGCATTTTAAAACTATTACATATACAAATTAATTTATATCTGTCGTTTAATTTACATACAAACATAATCTTTTAACATACAAACATAACTTTAGAAAAGCTATGGGTAACAAGGATGGTTTTAGTTATATATCTAGTAACTTTATTCAAAGGATCGAATCGCAAAAAACCAAACAGCGGTTCTAAAACCGTGAACTATAACCACAAACGAGCAACATTGTCAGAGTTCCCTTCACTAGGTACTTTTCAATGTAAAGTTGTCTTCATTTTACATTACTTTTCAGGTGAAGCTTGAGCAAAATGTCGGCAAGCCTTCAAGAGTTATCCACATACGGAATATACCAAACGAGACGACGGAAGCTGAGATCATACAGCTGGGTCTGCCATTTGGGAGGGTTACCAATGTTCTCGTGCTCAAAGGAAAAAATCAGGTAAATACATCAAATTCTACGCAACTTTTCCATTACTGCAAGTTACATTGTTTTTCGGAATTGAAATTATTACTGAAACTGAGTTACTTTGTATTCTTTTGTTTTACAATGTATTTGAGGGCTATTGTTATTATCCAATATTTAAAAACGTTACAAAATTATCTTATAAATCTAATTATATAGGAAGCTTATAAAGTTAAACACGATGTTTCTGTCGGTAAGAAATGCAATGCGGTCAATCTCTTTTTAAAAAACATTTGTTCCACCTAGTATTCAGTAAGACAATTTAAGTGTATGAAATTAATCAGATAATTTCTAAACCAACTCCTTAATTTAATTTCCCTTTTCATTTATGAAATGAAACATATTAATTAAAAACATATAATTAAACGAATGTTCAAAACTAAAAACTCTAAAGTTATGAATTTTTAAAGACTAAAACTAGATTGAAACAAAGAGCCTTAAAACTTTTTATTCAATTAAAACCGTAACCTGAAGTGCTTTACAAAAAGATAATTCACATAGGAATTAATATGTGAACTCGGTCATGTAACTACAATAGAGGCTACGGAAGCACAACAAGTGGGCGGCGCGGTCTCTGCAAATAGGCCGCTAACCATTGTGGAGTTGTACTTCATACACGTTTTATATTACCTATAGATCTAGTTAAAACGGAATGCTAACCTAGTTACGACGTTTGTATTAGTTAGGGAGACTGTAATTCTTCTGGATTCACTGTAATCCCCGCTCATTCACATGTTGTACTAAATTCTAGTAGTACAGTAAAGAAAATAATGAACTGACCTATATTATTTCATAAAAATAACGAAAGAGTTTATATCTTATAAACGGTACTCTGATATAGTTTGATGGATTACATATATTAGAATAACACTCGTGAAAGCCCTTTCTTATCAACCCGAACTATAAATATGTGTATTCATAGTAAACATATCTAAATCGAGAAATAAAATTCAAACAAATACAAGGGATTAACGGGGAAAAATATCAAACTATAATACAAATGCAAATTTTATTTTGAGCTGATATAAGTAAAAGAATATGCATCTCGATACTATGTATAATTAAGTAAGTAAGTTTAAAAAAGATTGTTTCAAGTTATAAGTATTTTACGATCTTAAATTGCAGGGCAAGCGTTAAACTCAATCGGTAAAACTTTTACAATATTAAAGTAACTAAGTATTAGTAGACATCAGTAAAGTTTATTCTACTAAAACCGCAAATCTTTAAGTCGACTTGAATCCAGATAGTCGCGGAAATATCCTCCATTGTTTATCCTGTAAGTTTTTTGTGGGTCTTAGAAATTTCTTATATTTGTTTCTTCTTATATTAATCAATATTATTAATATTATATTAATTAATATTATAAACTTTATTATTTCATTGATTTATCCAATTACGTTGATAGATTTATGGATAAACCTCTCATTTTTATTTTAATCCCAGACTTTTTTAAGATAGCGACCTTTTACAGTATTATGAAATATTTTAAGTCGCAGAAATAAGAAAGAAATAATTACATTAACGACTGACATTTTAAACGACTACAGAAAGTTCGTATCGGAATACATAATAATGAGAAAACAATTGTTATATTTCTAAATATTTGCTTGTTAAATATCAACAAAAAGAAATTAATAAAACAAAAAAAAAATAGAATAATATAAAGAAAAAATTATAAAATTTTATTTTAATATCCCATAAAATATATCAATAAGCACTCGAAGACACGGACGTGTTGTAATAAATTATGATTATGGTAACTAATTAATACTTTTTACCTAGTATTTACGGAAGAGGGGAAATTATAATGAATTATCTCGGTGGCGAAATTCCATCAAAATTCTACTTAGCGCATTTCAAGGGATGGCGACGTGAAAATAAATTTCAATTTGAGTTGCGAATATCTCGTCCGAAGGGCATGTTAAATAATTTTTTTTTTCGATTATCTTTTTGTACGGCGATGTCAACATTTTATATAATATTTTTTTGTTTGTTTATATTAAAAAAAATTCAAAATTAAGAGAAAATATCGACTAACTTAAGTTAAAAACAAAAAACTTTTCACTTTGTTAATAACAAACATGAATTATTTCTGATCGCCTTGTCTAAGTTTAGTTGCGATTAGCCTACTGAATATGAGCGAATGTAGAATTATTTTATTTGCATTCTAGACACAAATAAAAGAATCAAATAAATCAGTAATTGGAGAGGGAAAAATACTCTGTCACAATATTATTTTTTAATAAATTCATACCAGCACGCAGTTTCCATAGATAAACTTATATACGTACATATGTATATTGTAGATGAAACATAACAAACGAATTGTAAATTTAGAAACAAAATATATGATCTTTAGATAAATTGAACACAGTTTTATTCAGTTTTATTAAATAAAATATTTAATAATAAAATTTAATAAATTGACCATGCTATACCATAATTCTGAATTTCACTCTAATATATAACAAGTGAAATTCTTCTCAAATATTTACTTATATTAAGAGATACGTGTAATGGTTGCTTGCAAATTAAAAATACTTTAGTTTACAACGGAAAATAAAATGGTAAAAGAAATCTCATTACGTTCAAGCAAGGGCAGACGGGGGTACAATTTTATCCCATCTAATAAATAGCGCCTATGACATCCACCTTGTATACATACGTATATATCGTGGCGTGAAGAACAACAATCTTTCTTCTAGCATGAGAAACAATCCCTTTTTTATGAACGGTCCGATCTTGCTTTTTGTTATGAAATTTTCCGTATCTTTTCATTTCTGTCTCCGGGGTGCAGGCACAATGAAATTTAAATGTGCTTTTACTTAAATTTAATATTTTAAGGTTGCAATATTTTCGCTTAAGATTTCATACTTTAGGTTAAATTTAAAATTTCACGCCTTAGTCGAAGCAAGGATAAGTCTTAAAATGTAATTTAAGTCTGTAAGCTTAACAATATTAAAGAATATTACATGCAAACTAAAGAAAATTACTATAGCGTTGTATACGTACAGAACAATAACTTAATGAATAGATTCTGTTTCCTTGTAACTAATCAAAATAAAACACTCTGAAGTTGAACTGGCTTTCGAGCCTTTGATGGTCTCTAAGAGAATGATGAAAAGTATCGCTGTTGATGGTAACCGTAGCACTGAGAGTCCAGTTACAAAGGCGGCATTTGTCGAGAGGTGGGCAAACATTGATGTGAGTGGGTGCGGACAATCGCTTCCACTCTCGGTGATTAAAACGAAGAGCCGTTGACACTATTTCACGATCGAGCCCCGTGTGCCAGTCCATGTTTTCATTAATTTGTGAGCTTTCACTCACATCCTATCTGATTTATGAATCAATAACATTAAAGTTTTTATTCTGTGAAAATTGTGAAGGAGATATTTGTTTTAAAATCATTTTTTTATTATATATTTAATTCGATCACCCAACAAAGTAGTAAGATTATGTAAAGAGTAAATGTATTTCAGATAAATTCACTGAAGTGGGTTTATTTGCATAACTATCGAGTACAGTAGTTTGTTTAAATTCCCACTCGCTGTTCACAAGGTATTTGTTTTTTAATTAGCTGCAGACAAATTCTATTTAATTTGCGGCTTCCTACACAGGCCTGCGCCGGTGTATTTTGGACGCTGGTCGGCCATGTTAAAATGCCAAAAGCAGGATTCTGCGGTGGTGAATTGCGCGCACATAGAATAGGATGCACGCAAGTAAAATGTTCTCTCTAAAATGATAGTGGAAATCATAACGCATTTAGGGCACGATGCTGGGCATATGCGGATCAGTCCTCTTGTTTGGTTTATATATAGTAGTATTTCAGAGCCGATTAATTGCAGAGCATGGTGCTACCAACACAAAACCTCGTTACGGTCCCGTAACGATAATATTCTGAAGCGATGTATTCATTCAGTGAATTATAGTCGAAATACCTGGTAGCAAAATTATAAGGCGCTTATGTTGCACGTTCAAATATTACCGTATGCAATAGACGGGCTTATTAAAGCATATGTTAGGGCTCTTTATTAATATAAGTAGTAACAGATCTTATTCAAATGATATTAAATAAAATTAACCAAATATAAATAACAATAAAATAAGAAATAAATAGCATCACAAAAACCGTATTAAACAGCCTCATAAAAGTCTAGTATAACGTATATGGGTTCGACATACGCCAAGCGGGACCTCTCGACACGTCATCTTCTTCCCAGATATTTTACTCCCAACGCCGGGTATTCGATTAGATCAGGCAATATTTGTAATGGACCCACACTAGTTCTCAATTTATGTTTCCCTTTTACGTTCGCCACAGTTCATCATGATAAATACTTTTAAATGATCTTGACTCTTAGATTGTGTTTATTAAGCCTGATTTTTTTTACATTATCAAAAATATTTTCCCAATAACATATTAAATAGCTATAAAATTAAAATATTACCCACAAAATAGAATCCTGTCTTGTATTAAATGTCTATGTAATGAACGTAATAATATAAAGGCCTTCAGCGCAATTGGGGAGAAAAGTAAAAGTAACAAATAAAATTAGATACTTTTGAATTACATTACATGCATTGATACAAAAAAAATCAAGTCCCCCAACAATTATTTTCTATTAAATGTCATGTAATTATTTTTGTCTGTTTTAGGCATTCCTGGAAATGGCGGAAGAAATATCTGCTGTAGCCATGGTGGCATACTTCGGTGGCTGCGTGGCTCAACTTCGTGGGCGAGCTGTTTACGTGCAGTTCTCTAACCATAAGGAACTAAAAACAGACCAGACTCACAGCAACGCGGTAAGATTAATATAATTTCTATTCTTTACTTCTAGTAATTATAAGACATACCGATTAAAGTACAATGTATTGTTGTGTACTCTATCGGACGATTAAATCCTGTCACGTCATTATCACAAATTGCCTGACGATAGTTTAATTAGGTACGCCTCGACTAAGAGGAATTATGTGGTATTAGATGGCGCATTAAATACTCGTACTCGGTACCGATTGTGAAATTTAAACCCCGGTCTGCGGTGCAATTGAACTATTAGTATAATCTTTGTAGGGGACATGAGAGGCCCACGATTAAGATTACTGTATTCAATAAACCCGCATACCGCTTTGGCTTTGTGAGTTTCGTTGTTAGGATCTGATTGAGCTAACTGCTACTATTATCTATAGACGCCATTTAGGATTAGCGCAGCCGTAGTATAAAGTATTTAAAGAGATAAGAGGTAATAATTAAGTTCATCAAAAAATATCAAATATTAGAACCAGAGCGCCACATTTGATTAAATAGATAATTATATAAACAAAATTATTTAAGATCTAGTAATATTTTAGAATTATATTTTCTTTGTAAATGTTTCCAATATATTCATACAAAATATTCCTCTTATCTATGTAATTATATTCATACTAATAAATAACGTTAGCTTTTGATTCGTTTTCCTATGTTAAATATTATTTTCATATACAGTGAGAGAGCAAAATTTACGTTCATTTTCTATTTCACAGCCCTTGATGAGGTAAATTCTTAAGTGCTTTGGGCTTTAACACTCTGAGTTACATCATTCTTTAAAATATTTTTTTGTAAATTGCCTTTAAATTTTATAAAATACCCAAGAGTTGGCTATGTTGGAATTGAATTGTTATCTAAATGAACTTAAAATATTCGGAAGAATATAAAAATCTAAACTCTCATAAATTTCTTTTAGGATACTACAGATAACAATCATTAAATATTAAGTCTTTCCATACAAAAGAAAACTTCGTTTAATGACTTTCAAACGAAAAAGACATTCCCTTATAAGTTTTGTAGGATATAGAGTGATAATATGAGAAATGAAATGTTTTTATTATAGATTTGGAAACGTAAAGTAAATATTAAAAAATTCTTAACTATTAAATAAAATGTCGTTTACTTGATACGAAATAAAACAAATATTATAAAAATGAGTTTTTATCAAAATTATTATAAGACAACAACCGAAGGAACAAATTGATATATGACATTTAATAAATATACATGAAACAAATGGCATGTAACTGTATTTGAACTATATATAATCGTATTTGAACATCAATACAGTTAAAGTTAAAATAATATATTATTTGTTTAGATTAGTGTTATTTTAAATTTATTCAGAATAAACGTTTATTTAAACATGGTGTGATATTAACCTTTCAATGTCTATCATATTTTCTTTCACTAATATCTTTCCCACTGGAGTAATAGAGACAAATAGATATACATATATGTACAAGTATCAAAGAATTATATGTAGATTTATGTATTATCTATCGAAATTCTTAAAAAGTCTTAATCCCGTCAATGATGTGTTTTTTTTTCAATCACATATTTTGGGAGAGTAAATTGAGAATCTGATGAAAAAGTTACAAAATTAATCAACATTAATCTTTGCAACTTCCAATGTGTGTACTAATTTTTATAATAAAATCTTATGTAGACGATTTCGTCGTTGTTAATTTCGGTCAATGGAACCAGATCTAACTAAACTTAGGAATAATATCATTATATTAATAATTATGCACAAGTTATAATTATAATCTCATTGTTTATTAATCAATAGTATAATAGTTGTTTGATCGGATTGTCAACAATGCAAACAAGCCTCTTGGTAAACACAATGGCTAATTAATGTGATGATTAAACTGAAAATGGATACAACTAGGTGTCTATTATCTATTTGCTTTAATCTGTTACGCTCTTTGAGAAGTTTCCCTTCACATATTTGTCATTTAATTACTAAGAACAAACTTGTAAACACACAATCTATTAACCATTGTTTAATATTGTCGTAGGATATTACGGAGCCATTTTTTCAACGAATTAGCTATATATTAAATACAGTCAATACTTGATAGTTATTTCTCATATTTATTAGTTTATTTTTTAGCTAAAATGACACTTGGGTCAACGTTATGCTATAAATTTAATACGGTCATAACGAATATTTTTGATATTTTATATTATATCTTACATATTTTGGGGATATTTTGACATTTCTTTGTCAGTCCTATTTCCTTCTTCGGTACTGAGAAGCGTACTTCATAATGATGTGACTAAGGCCCCGAGGCAACGTCTCTTTAACGATATCAAGGACTTATTTTTCGTGACGATTTCAAAGACCGATCTTTTATTATTATTTCACTTTTGACGTGTTCGCTAATAGGATTCTATCTTTTCTTAAACATTCTGGATATTTATATATATTGATTATTTAATAAATTAGTCTCATCAAATATTGACATGACGTGATATATTAATACGATAAAAATAAATTAAAAATGGATAAGCATACTAACAATGCTACAACTCAGATGTCTTAGTACCAAATAGGCTATATTAAAAATTGTAACAAGAAAATATTTAGACTTGTTTTTCATTTTTAAATGTATATTATATCTTATAGTGTTAGAAATAAAAGTACATATATAAACTCGCATATTGAAATCATTATAATACTAAAGATTGTGTTTTTATTGTATTAAGTAAAGATTCTAAAATCTATTGAAATAAATAAATATATACATATATATGTGTATATAAATGAATATGGAGAGAGAGAGAGATAGAATTGTGATAGTGTACAAATCAATACTTTTTTAGTACATTCAAGTTACCTACACGGAAAAATGATGGTAAAAATATTCGAACACTTTTTCAACCCTTTGTTGGTTAGGACCCAACCTAATTCAGCCATGGTATTTGTTCCATCCTGCACTTACCTTATCCTTACTTGAGCTATATATTATAATAGAAAATGTTAACTTACTTACTATTAACCTACAATGTTTAAATATTTTTCAATTTAAGAAAACTTACACAATTAATATTCTGAGCCTTACAAAAACAAAAAAAAGAAACTAAAAACTTGACAAGGAACTCTCAATTCGCGGATCTAACTTACACTTTGTTTTATTTCTCCAAGCACTTACAGCTATTTTGTCTTAAAACTATTGTTTTAATATCATTTATTTGGTGACTTTTGTTGAAAAGGATGCGTTGAAAGAATGTATAGAATGTAAGTCTTTGACCAATCAGGCGATGCAAAAGGTATTGTGGTTGCTGAATAGAAGTCTTCGATGGCGGAAGGAGTTATTTTGTCGCTCGACGTAGACCGTCTGCCAGCGGTCGCTGAAAGATTGCCCTTCCTACGAATAAGACCTTTTAAATAACTCAAGAGTTTGCCAATGCGCTTTCAATGACCTATTGGAAAATATTTTCAAGAAATCGGGATTTCAATTATTCGTGGCACACTTTTATATCACAATCCTTTGTGACTCCATTTGAATTTGTTTTCTATGGGAAGTCTTTCCAATCATTCATATTTTTTTATCAGATAAACGATTTACTTTGATCTCTATCAAAACTCAAGATTTATTTCGATATTTATTTAGACGTAATAGTTTTTTCAATATAAATGAAAACTAATATCACATTAATGGGTTTTGTTAATTAAGACCAAAAACCTTAGTTAAAATTGAATGACGGTTTTATATATAGAACAGTAAAAGAGGTGAAAGTCGACATGAATTTGTAGAGGATCCTTTGTCGTCGACGGCAAGCTTACCATGACACGGTTAAAGCCTTATTTTTGTCTGGCCTGCACGCTTGTCAGCTTGTCGTCGGGCACAAAGCCATGTGAAAATATAGGATCAAAGAGTGGCCGGTTTGTGCGATCATGACGTCCTTCCTCAGCGCACGTTTCATTTGCTCTAACCTTTTATGTTGCGTTCATAACGTTCAACACTTCATGTTTAAATCGAAGGACATGTAATTTTCAAGTTTCACGGGTCTTTTTCACGTTAAATTCCTTTGTGTAGCACACTATTTTTATTCGAATTTCCATATCGTTTACGGATTCTCTACAAGTGCAATCAACTTGTCGATGAAGATTAAACATTTTAGATTTTTATTATCCTTTCAGAATCAATTTTACGTTAAATGGGTCTTTCAAAATGTTCAAAATGATATGTATTATACATCTGATCTTTATTTATAATGAGAAATCTGTTCGTAATTATCTGCTTAAAAGTTATAAATCAAAAGCAATATTATCTAAACAATAGTCTGAAAAATAATTAAAAATAGATCTTACTATGTAGTTGAATTAATATTTTAATAAAAAACTCAGAATTCGTAGACTTGAGCAGGATTCCAAACTCATCCTTCGGAATACCTTGTTTCCACTTCTTTACAAAGACTTTTAAGACATCCCTGACTCGAGCCTTTGAATTGAGCCTTCAAAATATGTAACCATCATATTGGGATGGAGATGAAATATAGACTTTTATGAAAATCATAACAAATTTTTCGTAACTACCACGTATCATTGAAAATTAAATTTAGTTTTAATGAACCTATCTTATTTTGAAATAGTTTGCTCTGCTATGAGAAGTCACATTTAATTAGTTGAATTAGTTATATCTATATAAATAATTCTGTATCAATCGACTGTTCAGCATACCTTAACAATATAAACACTCACATGAAGAAGTCAAGAAGATTTGTATCTTTCGAGGTATTACTCCTTCCAAATATAAGAGGTTTATTTTATTTTGACATTACGCGTAGCGGCCATTCTCGACCCTTATTTTCTAACAAAGTAGTGGATTTCTCGACGATACAAAATAAGTTTATGGCGTCCCTTTGTCTGAGGCGGTCAATGTTATCTCATAGTCGTGGAACACTCCAAGGTGTGCGGGAGATAACTTGTATTGCGTTCTTTTGTTGTCCGACTTATGAGAAACAAGTGGACATGTTTATTTTTTACGTAACTCTAATGTATCTTACTAGGTGTAATAATTTTGGATTTCGTCTGTGATTTTCATCTTATTCTGGATTTGTTAGCTATGGTTCTTTTGTTGAACAGTAAATTATATTATATTATATATTTTTTCTGATAACAAGTTGATTTAGTAAAGTTATTAAGATAGATAAAGTTAGTAAGATAATCTGTAAAGAAATCCTATTAAATACTTTGTCTTGCATGCAGTCTGCGTCAGCACAAGCGGCACTTCAAGCCGCTCAAGCCATATCTAACAGCGCTGGTGCAGCACTCGTAGCTGGCGCGGGCGCAGCGCTACAACCAGCCAACGGAGGAACCGAAATACAGGTTTGTATAAAATACAGTACATAGAAAGAACTATACTACCGAAAAAAAATTTTTTTCTATATATAATTTATTAAAAATTAGATCGTGAAAAAAAAATTATTACCATCATCTTTACTAAAATAATTACCAAAATCATATCTCCTTTCGAGATTTACCACAAAGTTATAACAACCCTCCGTAATGGTAAATGTTGAAAACAATTTTCCTGTTCCTATACAAGTACATGGGCACGTATGATTTAGTTTCTTAATAACATATATCAAGATAATAGCCGGCGTACACTCGAGGTATTAGATCGTACATTAATGTTACCTAAGGGTGACGTAAGGCAAAGAAGATTATCTATTTAGTATTAAACCGAAAAGCTGATTATAGAGACCATCGTAAATATTACAAGCTCGTCCTCTAAATCAGATTTTCAGTCCACTGAGAATTTCTGCTGCATATATTTATGTGGAAAAAGTGTATGTATCATTCAAATTAATGAATAAAACTCCACTACAAAGAAGTTGACCGCCAGGTGCTAAATAATATGTTATTAAGACTTACTTTGTACCGAGCTCTTAAAGGTTGCGAAGACACTTTAGTTTTAAATTTTTCACACTAACAGTGTTTCTCGTATGTTGTAAATATTAGCGTTATTATATTTCTAAAACAAAAGTACACTTTAGAATACAGATCTTTATTATTTTTAAAATATGTCACCGCATGATTCGTTGATTACATTATTTCTTGAGTTTTTTTTTGTAAGTAAATTATATATGGGTATTATATTAAACTCCAGAAAATATTATATTATATTGTTATATAAATTAACTTATGTTTAACAGTGTGACCTACAGGGTGGCCCCAACACTGTGCTGCGCGTTATAATAGAACACATGCTGTATCCGATAGTACTTGATGTACTTTACTCGATCTTTCAGCGATACGGAAAGGTGCTCAAAATTGTCACTTTCACTAAAAACAGTAAGTACACATTTATTTATTATCATATTCATATATAATGCTTTTACTCAAGATAAATAATACATGCAGTGTAATAACCTTCGTCAGCAATATACATTATAACATAGCCATAACTAACACTGTTAAGTTTACACATTTAAAAAAACACAAGCGATATAATCTATTGGACATAAGGCCGCATTTGTTATACTAATTTTCAAATCTAATTACGTTTTAATCCTTTTATCGCGTTACCATGTATTTGTCCCGAGAGGGTAACAGTGAGTAAAACACCTATTAATAATCGAATCGAGGCCGGTATTAAAATTAAATTTAAGCCGCGGTTGTTCTAGTGATAGATTTACCAAACATAAAGCAAATCTAAAATCCAAGGGCGCAATCCGTTTAAAATTTAAATCATACCCTCATGCATATCCTAAATAAATCCGACACAGCCTGCCAGGTTTGTAGGTACATATTTGATAAGCTTTGCCCACAGCGATGTAACCCACCCTGTACTGCTCGCTTTCTGCTAATTATAAACTTCGTTAATACCTAATCGGGGTTTAAACTTCCGAAAATCTTACACTATACTTATATACAAGTATCAGTATCAGTTGTTATCCAAATATATTTAAAAATAGCCAAATACTTATATTATATGTACAATATGTTATAATAAATAGATGCTTTGAATAGAATGTCTACATAGGGTTAAAAAAAAGTCCAACGTTACTAAATTGCTCGGAAATTTTTTAAAAGTATATTTGTAAATATATACGATTCTTTACAAACAACATTTCTCGTGTAACAACTTTTATCATAAAAAAATATCAAAAACCTAGAGCTCTTGCTCTTCGGTCCGTCCCGTTTCCATCTAATTTATTTAATTTTAAGTAAACTAGCTCTCATAATTCGTCAGTATCTCGACGGAGCTTAGTTAATGCAGTGATTCCAATTTCCGAACGACCCTTGCAATGTTACCGAACCGTTTCTTTTTACCGCATTTGTCATTGTCCAATTGTAAAAGCTTTTGTCTACGCCAGTTCACCGTTTAGTTGTTGTCCCACTCGGTTTTAAGCATTTTTATAAATGCACTGCTATTATTTATTTATTTTTTACATTCTACTTGTCAAACTCGTCCATTACTTCAGAATAGCGTTCTAGTTTTAAATAAGATTTTAATACAATAAACTATATTTTTATACTTACATGCATGTATGACTTACTTTATGACAGATTTTGAACTTAGAACGTTAGTCCCAAGTTTGCAATTCCATCACGACAGACAAATACGCCGAATTTGCCCTATACAAATCCGAATTGTTACCTACCAACCGTAGTAGATCGTAGATCCGAAACGTATAAATCCCTACTTCAATTATCCTGTCTCGTGGGGAGCAAATAAAGCACATATTTCGTATACAATTCACTATCAATACTATACAAAACGTTACGCGCCCGGCGGAGTTAAATAACTTATAATGCCTCGGCGAGTAATTTTGAATGTTTGTATTTCTTTATATTTTCTTCTGTTCTTTATTACATTAAGCAACATTGTTATGTTATTTTCGTTGACATTTTGATATTTCGCGTAATGCGAGATCACATTAGCAAAGACAGGGGAATCCAAAGTCAGTATTGTGTTTCTAATTTTTTTATGTAAAACTCATCGCAAAGTATCCTAAATGTAATTTTAACATTAAATATACATATTGCTAACGTGGAAAAGACTTTGCTGAACAAAGAAATTGTTTGAAAAGTAGATGTATGTTTTTGTTTACGTTTGCACTTTGAACTTTGTAACGAATTCAATGATAACTAATTGTTTAAATTAATACACAATAGGTCATAATAACTTTATAGAAGCTCATTAAATTTGATAAATCAATCTTACGGCTAGCTGTATAAGAAATTTAAAATTTATTATTAATTGAATGTTTCTTATGATTTGCATAAGTCAGTGTTTATCCGATCTTATATTTTCTCATTCAGGATGGCCACCGAAAATGCTTTATAACTTCAACCACTTAGAAGTTGTTACCAATTTAGGATTCATGTTGTTTCTCCTTGTTATTTTCGTAAGTTTATCGAGTTTATCTAATGAATATTCCCTAACTTTTTATTATATTACTAATAATAAAGGGGACGGAGTTGTAAATTGTTCTAGGAGTTTGATGAAGGATTTGTGGTCTTACAATCTTATTTTTAATGGGTTTTTTTATAACACTTCCATTTTAAAAAGTAAATATTAAGACATTTTACAAATTAAATTTATTGTAAAATAAATTGTTTAATAATGGATTACCTACAGACACGACATCCACCACAAACAAGGGAAACCTTATAATTGTAGCGGTCTATTACACCTTAATAAAGGCAATCTCGGAGGCAGGGGATTACAGAATCTTCATTGAGATTTGTTCCGAGATTAGGAGCATGTGATAGAACCTTCATTGATCCTGCACGTGTCGATAAACATATACAAATAAAGTAAATCGTATCATTATATCAAATACAATATTTTCTGTTAAGGTGAAAAGATATCAAAGAAATTTGCATCGTCAACACATTGAGTTACCGTTTTAACAACTTCCATCCTGATTATACGCAAGAAAGAGGAAAAACATTAAAACTGTCTCTGCTTTGAATAAACATTGAATCTCGTACTAGATATACAGAATAGTTAAACAAATCTAAGCGAATACGAAACATCATAATAAAACTTGAATTTGTGTAATTATGTGCTTGAAATCGTGGGTTTAACATTTCTACATTACATATATTTCTCACTAACGCGCCAGGGAATCGCGTTTAAGCCGCAGTTTACTGCTTCTTACTTTACTCTTTGCTTGAGTGTCGCAAGATGAAAGGGTGCTTAAATTGCGAACGAAAATGCTTTCAGATTCGACATAGCAAGGAGCAAAAGCGGTAAGATTTAAGATATCATATTATATTGTAATCGGATGGCCAAAGGAGACAGGACCTCGCTTAAATTTACATAGCGGTGCCAACGGATGCTACCTCTTTCCTTTTCAGGGAATGCGGAATAGGAAATTTTAATTTACAACCTCAGCTATCGTCTATTCGTAGATATTCCATAAAATAATTACGTGCTCCAGTGGAATTTTTAATGAAACGAAAAACATCGCATTGGGATTGATTGGAATCATTTAAATTTCTAGAGCGCAATCGGAGCAAGCATCGTTATTGAATTAGCCTACGAATATTTCAACTCGAATAACTAAATTCGAATAAAGGGTAACGGGTTGAAGTTGTTTTAAAAAGTCCCGCCCTGACTGTTGTTTATTATGGCCGAAAAAAATTGTTGCAATTTTTATGTACTATGCTTGTATTCATTTCATTATGTTACTAGCTTTTAGATCGTTAAATCTATAAACAGGCAAAAAGATGAGTATGTTTGTATTTTTTGTGACTGAAACATATTGTTGTCAGCGAACTTTGGGATTTACGTGCGGAACAATGTACAAAAACGAGGTCTAGCCTAGAGGATTCGAGAAAATCGTGTTGTTAAAATTTTTCAAGATAAAAACCATATTACACATTTTCAGTTTATATGAAGTTTTTAATTACCGTGGAAAATTTATTTATGGCATGCTTTTTATGTTTAATGTAAACGTTTTTGTAAATAAAATTAAGCTATCATTACCTATATATTATATATATATATACATACATACATATATATAATTATATATCTATTTAATTATACCTAGGATAAATAATTTAATAGTTTACGAGACGGAAAACAATTATTTAAATATATGTATAAGACATCTCTTTAAAATGTTAATTAATTTTACAACACACCACAAGCATTAATATTATTTGAAGAAATATTTTATTAACTTTCTTAGATAAAAATCTAAACACTTAAAGCAAGATGTAGTTTACAAAATTAATTTAATGTCGCCAAAACGCTTCTAACGTTCCGAGATCGAGTGAGTAAACGTATCAATTTATGCGTCTCGAGTTCAGAAGGCGAAATTACGTGAAACTTGTTTCGCATATTTGCTAAAGTGTTGTGGATGATAAAATAACTCTGATACACCTGAGACGATCTTAACAAACTCTTGGAGAAGCGAATTGGGTTGCGCCCCACCTTAGTCGCCAGTTCACATACGCTTTTAAACCAATTAAATTCCCTGTCAATAATACTTGTAGCATGAATAACTTAATCTTACCATAACCGATATATATATTTTTTTTAGCCTTTACAATTAGTGAACTTTGATACCTGCTCGAGTAAATAACAAAAATTATAAGCTATTTTAATTAGAATGATTTACATTTCATGACATTGTATTATAAAAATATCTTAAAATTAAATTAAATATTGGATGTATATATAGTATATACGTAAGTTATCCTTACACTTTTCCTGTCAATAAAAATGTAATATTTTATATCTCTTAACAAATAGTTTTTCGAGGTAGTGTAAGATTTATTAAAGTTTCCTACAGTATAGCATTTCTTTTGCAGATTCATTTCAAGCCCTAATCCAGTACCCAGACACCGGGTCAGCGCAAATGGCGAAAACGGTGAGTAGTGAATACTTCTTTGTTTTTATTTAACTGTTTGTAAAGTAAAGCTATAAAATAAAGTTCTTATTGCCGCACGTTTCATTCACTTTAATGACTCGCTTCCAACTATCTGTAGATGACTTGGTCTTATCTATCCCGACTGCGTTACCGGCCAGATTAAGACTTTCATATTGATGGTTGTTCTTAGTTGTGAGTTGTATGTTGAATAATTGCAGTATGTGATAATATATATTTTTCATAATAATTTTAGATATCTTATAAGATTAAAATTTATATATTTAAAGAACTTTACAAAAGCGTCACGTCTTATCTTTAAAATATCCTATCTCTTAAATAAATAGTATTTTTAAAATGCTCGACTACCTACTCTGGGACATCATTTTTCTCGGCTCAACTTTTCCCATTCGCTATTCATTTGTGTTAGAAGTTGAGCGTACCGCCGCCTACTGCAGTGACTGTTTTAACTTTATTTCTGATGCAGCGTTCAGGGCAAATTAAATTTCGTTTTGTGGCTTCCGTAAACTCGCTTTGCTGGGATAATAATTATTGAGATTTGTTTTTTTCGTTTTCAACCTATTATGAAACGTTGTAAATAACTTTGTATTCGATAGTTAATAGTTTATACTCCCTTGCATATTTGTTTATCAGCTTTTGCAAATGTGACCCCTTTTGTGGCATAATAATCTTAAATTATGTAAACTTATTACTATACCGAGACGTGCTTTTTTGGTAGTTTTAGAATAAATGTAAGTTTTTTTTTAATAGTTTTTCCCAAAAAAGTCGTGAACTTTTAACACAGAACAAATAGAGCGAGCTTTGGACAGAATCAGATTTCTAAAAAATTGGACTTAAAACTGGCTCAACAGATTAGTACTTCCAAGCGGGGAGATCTCCACTGAAATTGAGATATCATTGGCAACGAGGAGTGGTGAAAACTTAGAAATGCTAAGTCCTTCTCGACCGCCATAATTGAAGTTGTACATAAAAGGATTGATATTGAATATTGCACTAGCAAGGGATTTATTTTACGATTCACTAATTGACGGTTGCAATATTGTTTACATGTCTGATATGAACGAAGGTGAATGGTTCGTTAATATTAAAATTTTTAATTGAATATACATTTCCTTTTATATTTTATTATAATGTAAAAATAACACATATTGTACATACGTAATGGGTGGAACATACTACTATATTTTAATGATTATATTCCTTTTATGAGTTTAATGGTCATATGAATAGAAAAACTTGTAGATATCTCAGATTTTTTTTCTAACGTATATTAAACTCTAAGCTATTTTGAAGTTAATTTAATAAATGTTAAGAAACTCAGTAATTGTGTATTTATGACTATAATAATATTATGAAGGAATAAAATTACTTGGGCTGATTTGTTATGGTAATAGGTCTGGCAATACATAGTTAGGTACGCTAACGAGAACAACAATGTTTTTTTATTATATTTAGATCATTATTAACTAAATGTTTTATTCAATTGATTTTTGACTTGATATTTGAAATTTGAGAGCTTAATAAAACGCTGTTCGTACTACATATAATACTTCCATTTTTTCAGGATAAATGGATGAATGGATGTATGCTCTTTGTGTTTTAAAATAAAAATATTTAGCTTGTAAAGTAGAAGAAAAGATCTAGACTGAATTTTTCGATTTTTTTATAACGGGATGCGTACCAAGTTTGTTATTAAATATATTTTACATTATATCTAGCGGAAGTAGTAAGTTGATAAGAGTATTACTTTCGGCTTACGTTCCTTCCAACCGTCATCCTATTCTGATAGTCGGGGACCGGTGTAGTCACTGATTTTTCTCAAAATGAAATTGAAACGTCCCGCAAGGTAAGTGGCAGCAGAAGTAAGAGGTACAAAGTGAAGTGAAGCCGGATAGTGCTCCAGTCACAAAGGGCACAGTCGGATGTTGGAGCACTGAAATCCCCCGATCTCCGACTCTATGATCCTTGACATAAATCTCTAACCTCGCCGTCAAATCTTTTCAGAGGACGGCTTATGCGCGCGGACACGAAATGTAAGCTCTTAATGTGCTCAATTCTGGTACCTATTTACCGTATCAGGTCTAACGAGTAAACATTCCGCGTCTTAGCTGCGTCGTATCGATAACAATATGCCTAGATATTTGACACGCTGTTACATCGTTGAAGGTTGTCCCGTTTAAATATTTATAAATTGACTTATTTTTTGAAAACAAATGCAACGAAGACAATTTTAATCAAAAACAGAGTACTCCATCAATAGAGCGTGATTGATAATAGTGTGATTCATTGGAGTGCAGTCCAACCCTCAGTTGTAGTAACCCATCCATAACAGCACCGTCGGTAACGATCACTCATAATAACCGAACTGATTTAATAATATATAAAAATACTATATAAAATCTGTTCGATAAAAAATCTGTTGCAAATGTTGCCTTAGTTTTTCTTTTATAAAGTAAATAATGTTTTAAATATACATATGCATATATTGATCAAAATCTTTATGGAAAATAGATTTCTCTGTTGCTTTTCTCTATCATATTTATTTATTTGTGACTTTGTCTCAAAAGAATTTTGTTTCATATAAGTCTTAAAAATAACCTTGTGAGTATCCATTTTCAAATAGTCAAAGGCGAGGTGTAAAGGAGTGCCCCTTCAGACTTATCTATCACTAAAAGTTTTACGTTCAATATTGTAAAATCCCAGGTAATGGTTAAGGCGTTGGTTTTTGTTTACATTTTAAAATTGCGCTCTACAGGGAGACCGCGACCTCGTCTGAGCGGGACTTTCTGTCAACACGGACGGATTCAAACAATGTACATACATACATATCTGTTTAAAATGTTATACCTTCGCTTTGTGGTCTCTTTTAGAGATTGTGCCGGTGATTTTTTTTTAAACATTGTACGCTTTTTTTTGTTTTTTTTTTACATACATTTAGTTACTTACATATACACATATTTTTTAATGTTTTACGAGTAAAAAAATCAGAGTCAAAAACTTATAATGTTACTGGAAAAACTATGGGAGTGGCAAATTAAATTACTCTTCATTAAATTCTACTGATACTTCTACTTCAGATAAATATATTAATAAATATTATTCTTATTGATTGATACGATATATTTTTTATTTATAAGCTTCTTGATATATGAACTCTATTGAAAAATATATCTATAAAGCAATTTGCTTTCTGGCTTTAATGAAAAATATTTTAATTGTGCTTTGCATTTTCCTAGAACTACGTATCAGTAAAAACCGGGTTGTTAATTTTAAATTTGATATACCACAGCCAAAACTATGTACAGAAATGTTTGAATTATTTTCCAAAAATATATATAACATTGAAAACGTTCTACGAAATATTTTTAGTAAATTTTTTCGAAAAATAACAATAAATTTGTTAAATTTTTCCGTGAAATAATTAATTACCTTCGAAATAATAATAAAAAAACATTTTATAGACGTAACAAAAGGAGACGGACCCGTGTACTTATTCTTGTGCGTCTTATACATTCTCTAATTATGTCTTATTCTTTATTTCATTCGTTATATAAAAATATATCTAATTGTTGATTCACAGACATAACACTTTAATGAAATCAAAAGAACCCAACCAGTAATCAACTGAAGCTCTTAATTGATCAAATATGAATTTGAATGTACAGTTATTTTTAAACGACAATAACAATAAAATAAATTCAAATGATTTCTACTTTTCAATTAAATTCCATGAATAATACGTATTCAATGTATTATTTAGTGTAAAATTTTGTGGCTATTAATAATAGAGACTTGACATTTTTATATAAAAAAAATGTATGGAAAACAGATTACATTTATTTTTTATAAGATTTTCAAAAGACAAATAGATAAGATAAGTTTTTCTCAAGTTCCTAGATACAGTAATACTTGTAGCTACAATTTACGCTTCGCCGGGCAAGCAATGTTCATTCACCATTAAAAGCACATCGGATCTCGTCTTAAAACTTTAATATTACAATTATATGTCTCCATAAATAAATTCTCGGTGATATTGTGAACAGTTTGTTTTTTGTTATGGTACATTATTGGTTGAAAGTGATGACTGGTGAAAACTGTTTTATTTAAGCTCATTCAAATGTTTTGAGAGGCGACTTCATTTTTCACGGAATAAAATTATACTCAGTTTAACCTTTCATGTTAGTTATTTAACAACCAATATATTCGGCAATATAAAGAAAACAGATGAAAACTATTAAAAAACATTTGTCATAAGTCAAAGTAATTTCATAAATCGTATACCAAAAAAGTTAAAAATAAAAGTTTTGGTTTTACCCTTACAAATTAACATTTTTAATTACTATAATAAAGCTTTGTCTCTTTTCTGGCTGGTCCTTTTATATTAAACGTTTCATTCTATCAGACTAGATTATCTAAGTTTGAAGAAGCAAGTGCTTAAAATTGCACGCCCTCGTCGCCTCCCTGTTTAGATTGAAGCACTTGATCAACACTGCCCAAACTGCATCTTGTTACTTCACAAACACTGTTTAAATCTCCTAGAATGTTGTGTCTCTCGTCCGTTCTTTGTTTGTTATTTTTTTAGTTTATGTGATATTTTATATTGTTTAAAATTATCATATGTTTTTATGTAACCAACTTATTCATTTAGTTTATTTTTACCAAGGTAGTGTTTTCTTATCTCAAGTTAAAAATTAAGTATTCACTCGTCTTTTTATTTATAAAATAATGGTTGATTGAATACCGTTACATCAAAAATCATCTAAAATTATAGCAGTATCAATAAATTATTACTATAGGTACGTTTACCCGGGATCTAGGGAGTACCTGAATATTATATGATGTATTGGGGACACAAGTTGGCTGTTTGTTGGTGGTAGAACAATGCCATTATGTTTTAAACAAGGCTAGTATTCATAGACAAAGCCAATTTCCGCTATTTGCATCAAATGTGGGCTTCATTATTCATAATGTCACAATATAGTTTAGTTTCTGAGTTAATCGCTAATATTGTGTTTCATTAGGGGAGGGCTGAGGTGTGGTTTTTGAGCAATGATCGTTGCGATCGTGTCTGTTTTTGGCCTACAATTAGGGTAACTTTGCGTATTAATTACATTGCTTAATGGAATCATTCGCTGTAAAAGGCGTATTTATTATTAAAATATAATATCATCATTTTATTAACCAAATATTTGAGTTTAATAATATTTTATACCGATATATAGTTTAAATATTTTACTCGTTGCATTAACGAATTTTTTTTATAGATACGTGGAAGTTCAAAGTTTTGAAATATTTAAACAATTTTTTTTTAATAATAAAATCGTTAAACTAATACTCATATTCATGAATTCCTTTGCAATTTCTTCACTAGTGGAGAGCACTTAGGTATATTTACTTCCGCCGAAGTTCCGAGTCCGGTCGCCCGTTCAGTGGTCTTTATCATTGACTAATCGGCCGTATACCAACCCGCCTAATACAATCAATTAAAGTACACGTGCTCCAATCCCAACAATATTTTCCCTGGAGTGTCTCTTCAATTACGACCTCTATTATGAATTGATGTTTCTGCTTCCTTATATTTCGGACCATTAACCTGTCTTGTACCCATTCTAGACTACTATTTAGTTCATTTTAATATTTTAAGATAAAATATTAAATGCATTCGAATGCAGACATAATCCTTCAATAGTCGCAGACGCAATCTGAGCTCGGTCGTCACTTATAAATATTAAACGTTGAGCTTTGGACCCCAACAAAAAACGTTTATCTGGTCTCCGTGGAAAAACCGCCAGAATTAGCAACAGGGGGTGGATTAAGGCGGACCGCACTTAATCCGTCTCTAAGAAGGCTTTGCTTAAACGAGTTCTAACGAGCTAAAGATAAAACAATTACCAAGGACGTGATTAAGAGATACGGAGGACACTTGTTACGTCTTACGATGATTCTGTCTCGCTGCTCAGGCGGCCTCTTCGCTATTTTAAGCGAGTCTTATTTACCCCGTTCCAAAGATCTTAAGTTAAGTCAACCTGATTAATTTCCTTGAAAAGTTGTTAATTGTCCGAATAAATGAAGGAGATTTTTTATTGCTGCCCATTCGATTACAAAGGGAAATAAATGAATGTTTTGTCATTTAAATAAATAGTTGCTGTGCTATATTTTAAATACAATAGCACATTCAACAACAACACGCTGAAACCTATTAAATATAAAAAAGAAAATAGTACATAACATTTTTATCTTTGTTAAAAAGTTAAAACAATTGTTCCCATCTTTATTTTCATTCAACCAAACTTCTTATTAATTTATTGTAAGAAATAAAGCGGTATTTAATTTTTATTAACCTGCGCCGTAATTAATCACAGAACTTAAATTGACTTTACTCACCCATGACGCAAATGTATTCATAAATTATATTAAAGGTCTTTTATACTCTAAGGCAAAAAAGGAAGTTTAAATTGAATGTTGCTTTCCTTTGTTCTGCTTGATAGTGAATTAAAATTGCATACATACTTTGCTATCTCTCCATTTATATAATAGTATTATAATATATGTTTAATAATCGCGTATTTACCTCGAGCGATTTTGCATTATAAAGTTGGTTGAACGAAATAAGAATGATAGATATATATGTATAATTCAATTGTATACGATTACGCACTTCTCCCTCATTCAATTTTCGACAAAATCGAATGCGAGCGTCGCGGTTTACAAAGCTAATTATATATTGAACGGATCTTCACGCTTTCTTACGTGCTTTTCGCATTTCCATATAAGTTGAGCTATAAACGAGCCAATCTATTCACGTCTACACATCAGGGGTTCGCATTTGCATATAGAGCAGAAATTTATTAAATCTACAGCCAATATTCCAGCTATCCGACATTGAACTCTTACTTATTCATTGCGTCTCTGAAATTTTTATTGGATTGTAAAAAGGTATTCAAATTTAACTTCATTTATAGGAAGTACGGGGCGCGGTTTAATCAACGATTTTAGAGAGGCCTCTGTAATTTGGATGGTTGATTGTGTTTTCTTTATAGCTTTCCCATCATATATTCCATCAGGAAATGACTTGCAAGTAATATAAAATTGTAATTTAATATAACTTTAATTTACAATAGCCTCTGTTCTGTTTAATTGTACTTGGTAAAGTCACATATTGACTTAAAATGGTAACTGCTAATTAATATAGGTAAAATTTTTCATATACAAGCAAAAGTCAGTAAAAACGCCGCGAGCGACGGGCAAGTTGACCTTACTGATGAAACAGTTACTCGAAAATTGCCACAGGCATAATACCTGGAGCATTTGAATTAAAGAAATCAAAAACATACATTTATAAAGAGATTGCACGAGAAACACTTAACGGTTAAAAATTAATGTGTACACGCTGTAAGCAAACAGCTCACGAGTAATCCCTGAAGCAACGTTTATCTTTGCTAAATTAGATAGTAGCAGTTCCCTTGTGACCCAGTTACCTACGTGTAAGAAGTAAATTGATTTGATACTACTAAAGAACAAAATAATGTACTTACTTTCCAGAAAGAATCTTTTGTTCGTTATTTTTTACATCATCATATTTACTGGGTAGGTCAGAATGTTGGTGCATTTTAATACATTCATTTTTCTATCGTGATGCTTTGCTATCAGCTACGTGCAGGCAGCCTGGTCAAACAAATAAGAGGCGGTACAGGAATAACGATTTCCATACTTATTTTTTCACACTTTTATATTTTTTCATATTTGTATTTTTATTATGTTTACATTATTTTACAGTGTTTTTTAGGCGTCTACATTATTTTAAATTAATATGGTCTTTTTTAAATTAAAACTTTAGTAACCACAGTTTTTTGTTTGTCCAAAGGCTCTGGATGGTCAGAACATATATAACGGATGCTGCACTCTTCGCATTGACTACTCAAAGATGACCTGCCTCAATGTCAAGTATAACAATGATAAGTCCCGAGACTACACTAACCCGACGCTTCCATCAGGAGACGGGGACGCTCACCAGCTGTTGACCAGTGAGTTGATGCCACTGCGGGCCCACCTCGCCCTGAACCTCGCATCCAGGATGAGTTAGTCTTATACTACCCCACACCTGGACCTAACTTATCTCTTCGATACACTCTCTAGTTACTTAGTCACCTAGTTTAGCTTCGTGCAGTCTTTCGGTACTACCAAAACGCACATTTCATATGTTGTACAATAGATAGTATAGTATAGGTAGTTTAATTTCATAATTGAAACATAAATTACCAAAATAAATTGTATCTAGAAATATATTATTTTTCATATTTTATTTTGCCTCGCATGTAACAAAAATATATTTTTCAAACCATATAAGCCCATTTACTATTCAACGTTACCTTGGTCTTATTCATAATAATCAATTCTAAATGTTTCCACAGTGACTAATAACTTATTATAAATCCCTATTGCACCGTAGAGACTTGTAATATATGAGGATTACTTTAGCAAAGGCCTATTTGTTGTTTTCATTGTTGTTTTATCCCTCAAATAAGGGACTCTCTAAAAAAAGGACATACGTTAGAGCGGTTATGGGTTGCGATTTCTTGTTTCGAATATGTAGTGATTAATTTTCAACATTGAATGTAGGAGAGGTGATAAAAAGAAGCATCGGTTTTATAAAACTTTTGTATAGGCGGAGGGGTATTGGCACCACCGTTCCTGGGTCTGGGATCGGGGCTAGCTTCTCCCTATGGAGTGGGAGTGGGGGGAGTGAGCCTTCCAGCGTTTGGAGCTCTCGCTTTGACTCCAGCATCACCAGCGCTCCGAGCTCTTGCAGCTCCACCACTGCCGCTAGCTACAGTACTGCTGGTTTCAAATCTCAACGAGGAGGTAGGTATCCATGAGTTAATATAACCACCAAATGACACTAGCGATAAAGAAATAAAATAGATATCAGAATACCTGAAACCGAATGATATTGTTTGCTTTTTTGCATTGTAAAAACAATCCATACTAGATGACTTGTAAATGAGTTTATACACTCGTAAATATGTTAGGCACCGAGTAGAAGATTTTTTTTTTGTGATCTTTAAATTTGGTAGTTTAATGTTTATTGGCCAATTATGCATTATGCTAACCCAATAGCCGGTAACGTCCTTACAATTCATACAATAATATGGGCTCTTATATCCGCCAACGACTAATTGTTCCGAACTAATACAGTTGGCGTTACAGGCTATTATTACATTTATATATTCTACTTAAACTCCTTGAAAATTCGTTGCTAATTTATTTATAGATATGAAGTCAGATATCTTTTATGACTATTTATAATACTATCTCTTTCTCTTTCCTATTGTTTTAGATGGTCACGCCTGACGCTCTATTTACCCTTTTCGGTACGTGTGCACATACATTCCGTATTTTATATTAAAACATTAATATTACTCCTGAGCCCCTGTCTGCCTGAAAGACAAATTGTCAGCTAACATTCTCGACTTCTATACTGATAACAGCATCCGATGACTATATTTGTCGAAGCTTCGCTTGTTAACACTATCCATACTTAATCATTCTTTAAATGCTTATTAACTTGACAATTTGTGTTTCAGACAACCTAGATGTAGCTAGGTTAGTTTACCAAGCCCCAGTATGTATTTGTTTGGTTTATTCACTTGTAGTATTATCCAAAATCCAATAAACAAAACGTACAATACAATTTGGAAATATTGTATTAACATTTATAGTAAAATCGTAGAAAGCATTCTAATACATAGTAAGAGAGATATTCTTATAAATTATTATCAATTTATTGACGGTGTTCTTTTTAGTTCTTTGAGAAAAATAGTTATAATGTTTTAGTATTTCCTACTCTTCGAACAGTCAGACAGAACAAATGCCGGCTCTGTTTATACTAAGGCATTAATCGAAAGCTTTATCGTGACCAGTATAGCTTAAAGTTGTTTTCTTCTTGTGTTATTTTCCATCTGTCCCGTTTCACATAATTATTTTGTATACAGTTGGTATTACTAAAATAGCCTTTGTATAACCGTTGGAGTAAATCTGTGATAAGTGTAGTAACTTAGCTTATTTGGTACCAACTTAAACCGTACCTGGCTGACTCAACTTTGCTTTTATCGCTCCATTTTTGGATGGAAAAGTTTTACATTTTTATGGTAATACTTAGCTGAAACTCGAATTGTGGTCTTATGTTTCTGTCTAACAAAGTCGTGTAAAGTACTCTTGTAATTTGAAAACATACATTTTTTTTATCAAAAAAGCATAGTTGAGGTCGCTGTTATTACATAAATGTAGCATAAAATTCAGTATTGTTTAGTTTTTAACGTACTTTTGTAATGTAGGCGTGTACGGTGATGTGCAACGGGTGAAGATCCTCTACAATAAAAAGGATTCAGCTCTCATCCAAATGGCGGAGCCTCATCAGGCACATCTAGGTATGTTATTATACTGTTTATAGTTTTAATATTAATTTTGTTATCCCAACATTATTTTTAATAAATATTATGTTCACACTTTTGAAATAAATTGTTATATAATATCCTACTATAATTCGATAGGTCCCAGCGTAAACTTTTAATATACTTTGTTTTTGTACAATATTATTTTAGTAAAACATTTTTGGATAAAATTGACCTTAAAGTCCATACTAAAATTTGTTGTCAAAGTAACGACTTGTCTTCAGCAGTAAAGTTGTATTTGTTACCACAGTGAACGAAATTAAAGAAATTTTATTTTTAAAGAACGACATCTTTTTTTAATTACTTTTTTATAATGTCCTTAGTTTAATTAATACAGCTAACGTCATGTTACGGTGGTACATATATCTTAGTTATTAGGATATTGGTCCAATTTAACTGTAAATATTGTTTGTTACAGCCATGACTCATATGGATAAGCTTCGTGTGTTTGGTAAAGCGATGCGCGTGATGCTTAGCAAGCACCAGACCGTACAACTGCCCAAAGAGGGACAGCCAGATGCAGGACTCACCAGGTAGTAGAAGATTCCATAGTATAATAATGGGCCTTATTAGTCTTGTATCTTATTGTAAACTTTTAGTGCACAATCTTAGGTTTCTCATTCAGACATTCATATGGTATTGAAAAGAGACCAAATTAAAAAATTGTTGCAAAATAGAAATTTTCCTCTGCACTTCTTGTAGTTTTTATAGCGGATCATAATTTTTGTCTCTTTTTCTCTTAGTCACTAAAGATACCATTGTCGGAATTATCCTATGGTATATTATAGATATTATTTTAAAATTCACCTAGCGGGTCGGTTTCTTTACACCAACCATGATCACGGGCAGACATAATTAAAGCATTCGTCACTTTAGCATCATCTATTAATTATACATATAGCGTATTTAAATTTTCTTACGAAAATCTTAAGTGTTCCTACAGTAGTGACAAAATATTTTTAATCTTAAAATTTAAGATCCCTGACTATAAGCTGAACGTACCTATCCTTAATTATACTGCAAAATTTATTTCAATAGAATTATATTAATATATACGTCAATAATATGAAACTAATGTTTTTCGGATTACTAGTTGGATTTTTTTTAATTATAAAAATCCGCAAAATTTTACTTGAAAGTCTTAGATCTCCTTATAGTACAATATAATCAGATATTTTGAATGCCCACAAAACGAAATGTATCGCTATAAAAAAATGAATATTAGTGTTACCGACAATTAGTCGTAGTTTCTCTCGAAAAATATTTTTACCAAAAAAATGACACAAAATACCAATTATATTTATTTGATCACATAAGTATATCGGTAACGTAAAATAAATTTTTCAACATTCCAGGGACTATTCCCAGAGCCCGCTCCATAGATTCAAGAAGCCCGGTAGCAAGAACTACCAGAACATTTACCCTCCGAGCGCTACATTACATTTATCCAACATTCCGTAAGTTATTGTCCAATTCTAGATCCAATTTCAATCCAAAGAACCGACCTGTCACAACTCAATACTTCTTTCAGAGCTACCGTTACTGAAGATGACATCAAGGAAGCGTTCACTAAACGAGGTTTCACCATCAAGGCGTTTAAATTCTTCCCGTGAGTACTTTCATCACATTTATTAGGTTCTTAAAATGAATTATGTCATTTGAACCTTTATATGAAATGCTATAGTAACGATTTATTTTTAATGTAATGGTCCATTTTATTACACAAATATTTTATCTTTATGGACCAGTTTTAGTAATTAGTTAGCACACTTATGATTTCATCTTATATTTCTGCTTTCCATTAAGTATATCATCGCTTTCTTAAAGTTATTAAACCCTAAAAAATATAAAGCTATTTTATGTTACCCCGTATAATTCATGTAAAACGAGGGAATATATTTGAAGATTTTTAAACTAACATTGCAGGAAAGACCGCAAGATGGCTCTGGTTCAACTGCCATGCATCGATGATGCTGTGGCTGCCCTCATCAAGATGCACAACCACCAGCTCTCGGAGTCCAACCACCTAAGGGTCTCCTTCTCCAAATCAAGTATTTAAATTCATTATCGAATATCACACAATGTCCTCGACAGTACCCTAACCGACTGTACTATGTACTATTGAGCGCGACTGTACCTCACAAATCGAGAATCGCTCGACTGATGATATCTGTATTACGCTTACTCGGATCAGTAGAGGTTAAGTGCTAACTTCTGTAGTGTAATATTAAGGTCTCCGGCAACTAGATATATTTGTTATTTTAAAGCATATTGAAATTTGTGTGATATTCATTCCGTTTTGTTTTCTTAATATATACATTTATATAATTTCGTATGACGTTCCCAGTGGTTCGGTTATCTGATAGCAATTAGATTGCGCTAGAATTATTTACAAAACTTGGCAGTATCGCGATGTTAGACATTGCCGTTCTATGATTATCATGACAGCTTATTTACTATAGTATTACATATATAATATACTATAGTATTATATATCACTAGCACATTGTTACGTATATTATTTTGGTCATATAATTTGCAGTTATTATTGTAAGATTATATTTTATACATATATTTTATTTTCTTATTCTAATCAGCACAATATATTATGGTATTATGGAATATGATTGTTTTGTACGCATACACATTTTCTATAATATTGAAATGCTACGTCATAGAAATGTGTATGTGTGTGCAATATTAGTTTTAGAGGTTTTAGTAATTTAAGTGATAATAGTCTTCTTTATCGGTCTGCATACTTCCAATATTGTTTCATATATACTGTTGCCTCTTATAGTTAGTGTAATCACGACTATTTTATATACATAATATATATATATCTACGTTATGTTCGGTGACATTGTAGTGACATGATGCATTTATTTTCTATGTTAATTTATAATAATATTAGCTACAACATATAAATGCTCGTGCATTCACTAATTAAGTAATTATAGATTATTTATTCCTCTAACAAGCATAGTGTTTACAATGATAATTCTCTAAGATAATCATTAAATAAGATGCGGTTAGTTATGATATATCCGGTCGTGTGGTATTTGATTTGAACACCCTGTATATACGTCCCTCGTGTTTCACTACACTCGATTGGTTCTAACAAATCTTTGCCTTCTTAAATTAAATAATGCGTCTAGTCCAATGTGAAAGAGATTAAGTCGTTTAAGTGATTTAATAGAAATTCTCTCTGAAACTGGCTAACATTAGATATTATTTATTTATAAATGAATTTTATTTGTGATCGGTCCGTATTTTGGACCAGGTGAGATCAGTTCGTCGGTTTTAGGCAAAGCATGAGTGAAACACGCCCAATATACGACGCGTTGTCCCATGAATTAGTTTATTAATATTAGGTACAGAAAAACATATCTTCGCTAAGTTTATAAACAGTCCATACTAAAGGTGTCTGAGAGACGTCGGCATATCCTTTCAGTCACCGAGTATTTCATTTAATTTATGTAAGCGATCATTGAAAATTATTTACACTATTATAAATTGTATTATATACATAAAATACCGTTAAATAAAAAAATAGAGCTTAGTAAGATGGTTAAACTGAAAAAAAAATTGATCGTCAGTACGGTGTAAGGTTTACTAGAGAAATTTGATCATATAAATTATTGTATTAATCAGTACCTACCTACAATAAGAACGTGTATGTAGGTTCGGTTTAAATAATGCTAGGCGACCAGGGTGTGGTGATATTTTGCACGTTTTTGAGATGTTTTTCTATGTGGCTCAGTCAACTGTGCCCGTATAAAATGGTATGAAAGCGGTGGTGGTCTCGAGATGGTATTGGTAGCTATAATTGAATTATATTATGTATTATAACAGAATCACAAAATAAAGAGATTACATATCCGTTCTCAGCGTGGAACGCTACACACATAGATATCAGTTCTCGATGGACAAAACAGTCTGTGCTCAATTAGTAGTGCGACGGATGTGTGTAGCGTTTTGTGGCCTAAATTTTTCTCATTAATATTGGTATTGACTAATAGATAATTATAGGAATTTATGTGTTTAGAGAAGTATTTTAAATATTTAGGATAATAACATACTGTAATGAAAAAAAAATCAGTGTTTAGAATGAGATGCCAAATTTAAAGTCAATACACATTATTTTAGGTAAAACGTAATTGAATTAATCTTAACGTTTATTGAGAAGTTAATGAAAATGTTACAGTTAAATTATATTTGAGAGTTTTATTGAGCGCAATATTTGCTATTTTATTCATCGCGAGCGAGCATTGTTTCAATTTGTTAGTTAAAGTTATGCGTTGATAAAAGATATGAAGTTGTGTTTCTTACTTAGTCCATTTGGTACTATGATAGTTAGTGTTATTTTACTCGCTGTGTTGTCTCTTACATATCTGTCCATATCGCTGCTACGATTGTACAGATTTACTTCATCTCTTCACTATAAACGGTGTATGAAGTTGTTTCATATCACTAAATTAAAACGCCTACATATCAGTAAATAGAAATCTTTTGGCTAAGGCGCATGTATCAAATTGTATCCTTTAACAGCTGTTACTTTAATCTTCCTTTTGTCCTATTTAATGCTATGTTATTTCCCATTGTAATTTAAAATGTCGTCGATCTTTGTATTCTTTTATTTTAGAAATAAGCCTTTGTGTGTTTAATTTCATTCTTATTTTTAATTTCATAATTAAATTTTTATTATCATTGATTCTTTTTTTCTTTATTTTCCTCATTTTCCTACCTGCATTTTAATATTAATTATATATTATTCAATCTTTAATTTATATTTGTTGTATACAGTATATTTCCATTCTAAAATAGTGGAACTATTTGTAAATAAATCTTGTAAACTTAAATGGGAACAATATAATGAAATTATGTACGATTGTACACCATCTGTGCTCTAGACATATTCTTATCTACAGGACTGTACTGTACTATGACTTGAACGTTTCAATACGTATTTTCAAACTCTTCGCGTCTTGCGTATAGCGAAGTCTGAGGCAAGAATTTAGGCGAATACAGGTTGTTAAGATGAATGTGAGTGGATTAAGGGACGCAAAATGATGCCAATGATATTTTTGTTATAAAATTATCAAGTGGGATACTTCGCACAGGGTAAAATGTGAATATTTACTCCTTGTCCCAGAAACTATCCGTGCCACGTCCCTTACTCCAGAGCGTTGAAAGAACTGAAGCAATCCTTATTGAAACGTTGTTCTAGAAAATTGTATAACTGCCAATTAATAGGATACGTCACTGCTACTTCAAATTAAATAATGTTAATGAAAATTGTTTAGAAAAATAAGCTCCTATGAAGTGGCAGTTATCCTGTTATGTATTGCGGGTGTAATTGTAAATACACGACCTTATAAATAATTAAATAAAATTATAGAACTATTACAGATTAAAATGATCATAACTTTAAGATTCTAGATGAATAAAACTATCCTTATTTCGGTAGACGATTTAGGATAACTTACCTGCATGAAACAGGATGTCTTCTTAGCTACTTCGTGTATACCCGGCTCCGTTGCAGTTTAGCAACTATTTGTTAATTTATTGAAATATTACTAAAGGTGTGCAAATTAAAGGGTTGTGTGTAAATTAAAAAAAAATAGTGTAATAGATGTAATTCGTCTCAATAGAGTCTTGGTTTTTTCTGACCCACTAGTATCGTATCTCGATTATAGTTTTAAATTTCAACAATTTAGACTTATGATCAGTAATTTAAACAACATGCCAAAGACCAATCGTTGGAAAAAATAACAGGGATATAACAAATAAATAATATTATTTTTCCCTTAAAAATAAAATAGAAGATCAAATATCCTTTGACTAAGCTTTAAAAAGCAGAATGTAATTCAGATGTATTATGAAGATTGTTTTATGTATATTTAATTTTATATCAATAATTATAACTAAAACCTGTCAGTTTATGTGAAATATATACACTATTTTAACGTCTAAGTGACTACACTATTAAACTCTAGATTTATTCTTTGTCATTTTATAATAAAATATAGTTGAAAATGTCTATGTATTTTATTTGTGTATTCTTTACTTGACATCCTGATTCCCAACCATTCACTTACAATGGAAGGTTCTTTTTCAATTTCGAGCTCGCTGGATTTTTAACTTCAAACTACTTTTCCATAGGAGGTCGGCGAGGTACAAAGCTACTGAAAAAGAGTCATCAACGATTTTGGGGCGTCTGTCTTCGATTACAAAATAACTATGATTTCAGAAATATTATTGTCATTTACGTTCTATCAAGATGTAAACAGTTTTTATTTTTTATCTTTAACTGGACAATTGTTATGGGCTGGACTGTTCTGAAGTTAGTTTATTACGTAATTCGAATACGTAGATCTTATAAATGTATATCTTTTATATTTAAATGAGCTAGGAATTATTTCTAGACAATGTTATTTTATTAAAAAATAAGAAAGAGGAGTCGTTTAAAACATGACTTCCTGACATCTATTGGCGAATAGTAATACTACTTTTTGCTAATTGCTCTTACTAATTGCTTTAAAGATAGAACAACAGATGGCGTTTATTTTGAGGTCAACTAAGAAATTTATAATTTTTTTATATATGCTATTTGAATTCTATTAATCTATAGACAAATTTTATGTAAAACTTATTATATCATTGTCTGTTTATGCTCAAACAATAAAGAATATGGCATTTTCTCTGTCCCATAAAGCTATAGGCCCTATTCACGATAATTATATAATTTAAAATAATTAAAAATATATACTCCTCTGGCATATTACAGACATGATAGCCAGAGGAGTGACCATTTTTTGTTAAATAGACGTAAATAGACGTTTTATTTAATATAAGTCAACTTTATTAGCTAACAATCAATGGTATGACAATACCCTGCTTTGATATGTTACTACTCTGGCAACACTGTTACTCTTCTGGTAACACATTTCCCTCTGATGCTTATAAAACTGAAAAAAATGGAATAGTCATCTGGCCCCTGTGATTACTAATTTAAAATAGTGTCAAATAAATAAATTATAAATATTGAATCTAACCGATAACATTTCCTTCTGGGACACGAAAAAACCAAATAGCGTATATTCACGCTTATATTGTTTTGTGTTTTCTTAACGTATTCACTTAAAAATTGCTTAAACGAAATAAAAAAAAAACACAAAATAAATACTAATAATTCTTAAATAACGAGCAAAGCTCGGTAACCAGTTATTATAGTATTATATACGCAGATGAAATTTTACTACATTTATTAGTCTCCACCTGCAATATCCAATTATTTTGTTATCTTGAAATTAATAAGTCGAATTCAAAATACATATGTTTAAGATAAATCTACCAATTTTTAATCTAACAGGCTTTACAACCTAATAACCGAAAAATTATATAATATAGCTATTTAACAAATATTAATTCGGACTTATTATTTATGACCATTATTATTATTCATTACTTACCTGTGATAGACCCCGTGATCAAAATCTAGTTTTATAAAATAATTTTATGGATATTTAGGCCTGGGTGAGTTTAATAATGATATAACTTATTTTATATAATAGCATAATATATTTTCTAAAATTTTTTTCCTTGTTACAGTAATATAATTTCATTGATACAGTTATTATAAGACAAACACTTATTGTTAGGATTATATTTTGCATATTATGTATGTCAATAATATAGTAAATAAGGCCTGTAAGCCTTAAACATTCTTATTGATTAAAAGAATATCGGAGTCCGTCTTTCAGCTTAATACAGTAAATTTTGCTTATATTCTTTAGCCTTTAAACTCTTCTCTTTTGGTTGTTTAATCATGAAGAGTACGAATCAACATATAATAAAAGAAATATAATTTTCTTGTATTTATTCAGAGAAGGCAGAAAGAGCGTGCACTCAGGTGATCAAATTTACTTTCATCAAATATACACAAGATATAATTTGAAAATATTAATAAGCCTCAAAACATTATAAGCCGAAAATATAATAAATCTAGCTGAAATGTTTTATTATGCTTTAATTGAAAGTGATGTCATTTTATTTCTTTGTATTTACACTGTATAGTGTAAATGATACTAATTTAACTCAAGAATACTGGTAAATTATTTGAAAATATTTATTTAGCTTAAATATGTTATTTCAATTAATTAATCTATATTTGTAAAAGAAAGTCGTGTTTGTTACACTTATTACTCAAGATCGGCTAGACCAATTTTCACGGTTTATGGTTTGTTGGATTTGTCTCCACCCCGAATAGCAGAAGAAATCTTAAAAAAGAAAACTTAAAGAAAACTCGACAAAAACATGTAAAGGATCGAACCTGGGTTCCCAGGATTGATCGAACCGGGTTGTACCTGTTATTTGTCAAACATTTGTTGTCCATACTGTCAAATACTATAAGTAATGGTTGATATAAGTTCAAAAATAATGACAAATGTTTAACGTTTACGCGTGGGTTTATTAATTTATTTTGTGTAAGTTAAGAATTATTTTCCAGCGATATCTATCAAAAGAAATTGGAGTTTCATGTAATTAATTCACACCAAAATATAACAGATGGCGTTAACAGTTTAATAATCAAGGCATTGGTTTGAAATACATAAAAATATAAATGTTACATTTTAAAACTATTTTTGAATATTATTAGTTGAGATCTGGACAGATTATCGAAATACTAAAGACTTATACTATGATAGTATTAATTTAAACATATAATGTATAAGAAGAATACAGACCATTGTCTGTTGAGTCAACTGTACATAATTAAGAAATTAACTTTATTGAGATAAAAAGGTAACAGATATTTCATCATTATAGGGCGATATGAAGTCCACCGGGTCATGTAGTTGTCCAAGGAATACCACCAATTAAATTACTTCAGGCGAATATTGAAATAGGGAAAACTTAATTATTATAATAAAAATAAAGAAACAGTTCACTAACTCTTTAATTAAAGCAGCATATGTAACAAATGGAATTAAACGAATGTTGTCTTTTTAATATAAATAATATTTTAAGAAATATCGATAAATCTATGTTACCTAGTAGCTGGCAACTAAAATTGACATTGACATTTTGATACAGACCGCAAAGTTGACATTTGACAATTTAGAATTTGAAGTTCTGACTTTGATGTATGCATTACTGTTACAATAATAGTAGGATATTCGATTTTGTCTTGTATAACGCCGGAATAGTTTCAGATATTATTTAAAGTCGTGTAGATACGTTGAAGAATTATGTGAAACATTGCACATTATTAAAACAAAAATGTTCAGAACACTGAATCGCAAGTTTATCTTTGGTACTATAGCAAGAGTTACTCCTACGTTTATAGTACCTATTTTTCACGAAAGAAATAAAAATGATGAAATTCTATTAACTGATTCTGATTATGAAGCACAGCAAACAGGATGGGATAGATTGCGAGCCATGTATAGAAGAAAGTAAGATTTTTCTTTCCTAACCTCTCATGCCTACGCTCTAATTAAGCTTTTTTTTTACTTAACATTAATTTTATTTAAACAAAATAATCAACTATGTCAAAGGTTGTTCAATAAGTTATATTTTTTTTTCTTAAAAACACTTAAAACTATACAGTAATACAGTTAAATTCTTTATGTTATTATTACAGTGAATTTGATGAATACTCAGTAGAGCTGCACAATGTAGTTCAAGAAAGTTTATGTGGATTCTTCATTGGAGCCTCTTTGGGCGGATTTATCAAGTCAAGAGATGCATATTTAAACTTCATACAGAATAACCAAGCTACAATTTTTAATTCTACTTTTGAAGCTAAAGTAATAGCTTTATGCTATTAAATATACTTACATGTTTTCTTAGTATTTCAATTATTTGTATGAATGTATGTTTTACTGATAATTTCAGAAAAAACTCCAGGACTATGTAACTATCTCTTTTGCCAAAGGAGCTTATCATTGGGGTTGGAGATTAGGTATTTTTACAGGAATATTTAGGTAAACATTACTGATTTTATTTTATCTTACCAAATAAACCTTGTACTAAACTCAAAACTGTTATAAAAAATTTGATTGTTAAGTGTTTTTGTGTCAGAAATATGGTTTTAATACTTCTATATTAACTTTATTTATTTTGTAATCATGTTAAAGATGTATGATGATTGATTATATTTTTAATATATTTTGTTTGTCTATTTTCAGTTTATTGGTTACATCAATTTCAGTGTACAGGAATCGAAGCTCTTTGTCAGACTACATTGTAGGGGGATCTCTCACAGGGGCTATATATAAAGCTAACTTAGGCCCAACAGCAATGTTAGTCGGCGCTGGTGTTGGTAAATGCCATTTTATATTTAACTGTTATACTAAATAATAATACAGTGTAAACTATAGACTCAATTATATAGATAACGACACTGAAGGGAGTGTGCATTTTATTCGAGTTTATTGCGGGCTAGGATAACAAAGCGACAAAAGAACATACACAGCTGCGCAGTTTTTTCTGTTTTTAGCAACTTAGAAGGTACTTTTTATAAGGGACTATTACTTAATTGTTGTCGTTATTGAGAGTGGGTGTGATGCTATGTAGAGTGTATCATTGTATGGTAGACAAGCTAAACCAACAAAAGTCAAATGATATCGATGCTTTAGAGAGTTTGTTGTTAAATTGAGTGATGTTACATGGAGTTTACACTGTATTTCTTATTGACCCCAATATTTATATATTTTTTGTATGAATTCTCAATAATATGTTTATTATGTTAAAAGGTGGCGTGTTAAGTGCCCTGGGAGGAATTCTTATTTTGGGTCTTCTGAAAATAACTGGTTTATCAATGGATGACATAAGGAAATCACTTTACAAAATTAAAGAAACAAGGTAATTTAAATTATATCATTTACATAGCTGTTGTCTTGTAAAATTAACAAATTATAGAATTGTGAATTTTCATAAAATATATTTACTAATCTATGTGAAAAATTATAGTCGTTCAAAGTTGTTCAAACTTTTCCGATTAGGTAGATTTTCAAAGAAATATATGTGTTTCAGACAACAATTAATGGATGAAGCTATAGAAAAATCTGCAAAAGAGAAAAATGACCAGCTTACCATGCATCATGATATTATTGTTAAAGAAAAAGGTGTACAGAAAGTTGAAGATCTACCGTAGACTAAACAAAATGTATCCTTAGACATAGTTAATAAATTATTCAATTGTTAGTATGTAGTTTTTAATTATTTGATAGGAAACATACAAAAACCTGTTAAATATCAAAAGCATTTATTTATCACTACATAATAAAGATTCTTTGATTAAATACAAAAATATACTCAAATATACAAACTTTCTAAATCTTTTGTGCACAAAATATATAAATTCGACAATCAAAATTACACATAAAAATTTAAGACTTAAATTTTTAAATATAAGATGACTAAATATATATATTTAAAAGCGACAGTTACAATTCTTTTGGCAAGATAAAGTTTTTTTAATGAGACTCAATAAAGCATTTGTCATAATTTTCTTATGAACATTTATTGAATGTTATTTACTTTCTTGTCTAAAAAGCTTTGAATAGAATTATACGTCATTTCTTCTCAGGGTGCATGCATTAATTACTGAAAAGTAAGTTTTAAATATATAGCATGGAACAAATGAATCTTGAGAGGGTCACTTTTATTTTATAAAAAGAAAAATATGTATTTGTATCTGTAAATGTATCTTTTTAAACATACATTGAATAAAAAAATTCAATTATTTGTTAAGAAAATCTTAATGTTAAATACTGTGACTTAATTTGAATAAAATATCCATTAATAGTTTAATAACTATGTATGACATATATAAGTATGTATAAGTCCCATACTCAAGTTTAACAGTAGTACAATAGGGCAAAAAATTGATATGAAAAAAAAGGTTTGATAGAAGGTTTAGTCTAACCTCTCCTAATACAAAAATGTGTTCTAATTCGAAACACATTTTTATATTTTTTGCTTCTGGAAGCATGAAGTACTAGAAAGTTTTTAAAGCATTACTTACTGATTTCAACCAAAAGTACAAGATAAGTACCTAATCATTAATTTACATTAAGTCTTGGTAACATTTATATTAAAAGCTGATAATCATACATGGTGTTAAGATATTCTATGCTAAAAGGTAACAATTATTTGTTTCCGATTTCACCCTTTAAATTTTTAAGAATATGTTAATATTTAAGGGTTTGGTTCTCTATAAAAAAAATAAAGACCATTATTATTTATAAAAATAAAGTTAAGCCCACTGTAACAGATTCATTTGTTCCAAAAATACTAAAATTTGTAAACTGTATTAAGTATAATTTTAATTTTACCAATTATAATAGTATTTTATTTAAATCAATCAGAAGTTTTAAAGAGAATTATAAAAAATATTAAAAACTACATATATTATGCATCAATTTATATGACCTTTTCTGAGTGTAGCTAAGACTTACAATTAATAATAAAAAAGTGACTTAAAATGACTACATACATTCAACTTTTAAAATTAAAAATATTCTCTTTATACCTTTGAAATAAATTTAGTATTTTCTGAATTTTTAAAGTCTTAGTTTCAAATGAACATATAACCACTTGGTTTCATATATATTGCACATAATAAATATTCTTATGTATATTTAATACTGTTACTGCTTATTGCTTTTCTCATAATACAACAGTATTTTATTAATTTTACAGGTGTAGTTTTTAACTAGTGACCTATAATAATACTAATTGAAGTTGAATAGTGTTTATGGTAAATTTTGTATTCAATAAAATGGTGAGCCCATTTTATTATTAAAAATATTATAATTAATAAATATAAAAATGGAAGTTTTCATGATTAATTAGAGTTCTTATAAAGCGTAAAAATAATGGTAGTTGATTATTGAGTGGACTGTGCTTTAGTGATTCTTTTGGCGCCTCTATTTGGAGGGCCCTTAGGTTTGGCGAAGGCTGGTCTATGTAAGTTTCTTTTTGGATGAATTTCATCATATAGATACTCTTCAGTTAATTCCTTTCCATCATCTATTTCCAGCTGAAAGAAGATAAAAATATATTATTGTAGAATTTCATACATATGCGTCCATGGTGATTTTAAAAGACAAATTTTAGAAGGTCTTACTGAATAATAGCACTATTTTGATAGAAGTATTTAAAATGTTATCACAGTTGTCTGTTGTACAAAAGTAGACTAGTGTATGTGAAAATGAATAATAAAGTCTTAATTGTATATTTCATTGAGTAGAAAGAAAATATAAATCATAAACCTTATAAAAACGCAAAATTTTTCCAAAACTAAATGCAATTGCTGTATGTAGACAACATTAATTCGACTAGGTAATTAGGAACAACTGGAACATATTTCACTTTTACATATATCATAACACTAAGCATACATAGTTTAAAACTAGTTCAAGCAAAGAACTAACAAAATGTAATGAAACAGACAAGTAGATAAATAAAACAGGTTAGACTCATGTCTTGGCTCATACTCGTTAATAAAAGAAAAAACTTAGTGTTCCTTTTTATGACTTGACTTAAAATATATTTAAATTAATATTATTGAATGAATTCAAGGAAAGTATCAAAGATGAAATTATTAGAATTTCTATTGTTTTGATAAATAGGAGATTTACAAACAATTTAAATTTATATTAACTCTTAAGTAAAAAAACTTTCTATGTAGATTTAGAATTTTACATCTTATTAAAGATAGATTTGCCAATTGTTCACAGCAAAAAAATACATATGGTTATTATAGAAAAGTAAAATATTAGTTTCTGATATTTTGTACTCCTAGACTTAAGAAAAATCGGTCTTTAATAAAAGTGCTTTCTATTGATGGTTAATATGATCGAAATATTAGAGAATATTCTAAATTCTCTCAGCCACAAATTCCTAACTAATGTTAGCAGTATAATATATAAAAAATTTTTACTTACCCTCTTAGCGATAGCAACACCCATATTTTCTAAAATATCCAAAAACTGTCCCTTACAACTGGAATACATCATTCTTTCTTTAATACTGCAACTGTATCCTGGCATTGAATATATGAACACTGCAAAAAAATATGGAGTGTCATATATATCAAATAATTTAACAAAATGGACAATGATATATACATATATAAATTCCTGATTCTGCCCACATTTGTTCGTAATAATTTAATTTTTCCAAATATACACATTACAGAAACTCAAACTCAAATAACTTTATTCAATATAGAAGCATTACACTTTCTTATTGATGGTCACTTCAAACACTGCCACCGGTTCGGAAAAGAAAATACCCTGAACTGAGAAGAACCAGCGAAAGAAACTCAGCGGGTTTTTTTAATTTTCTCATATATTATACAAACAATTTGATATGAGATGAAACAGCCAGGAGGCGATCGTTTCATTCCCAAGGTGTGCTATCGATCATAAACTCATTAATTGTATAGTAACCTTTTGCACACAAGCATTCCTTAATATTTTTTTAAATTTGGCAACAGAGGCATTTTAAACGCTTCCTGTTGTAAAACCCTGTTGTAAAACATTGCCCCACAAAGGAGTTACTGACTATATGTAGTCGAGTAACAGGAGTAACAAGTCTGTGTTTGTTCCTTGTACCAATGCTATGTGTTTCACATTTTCTCATGAAATCATTAATTATTTTTCGTACATACATAACATTGCAGAATATATATTAAGAAGCAACAGTCAATATCTTGATTTCTTTAAATTTATTCCTTAATGAAAACATCTATATATTACTAGAAGACCTATAATCAAGAATTATCTATTACGTTTTTTTATTTATATTTTAGGAGTTTACCTATTAAAGCCATAAATCTCCGTGTTTTGAAGTGCGACAGAATGATTAAAATATTAGTTAGTTGTCAAATCTAATGTCAAAAAAAACGTTTGTATGGGAAATAGAAAAGGGCTGTTTTTATGGTTTTCCCAGTAATGAATCAATTTTTTTCAGCTTTTATACCTTCCCTGAACCTCCATGAACATTTCAAGACTAAGATAAGATAAATCCGTTCAGCTGTTTTCGAGTTTTAGCGAGACTAAGGAACAGCAATCCATTTTTATATATATACTAGAAGACCTGGCGAACTTCGTATCGCCCTATAATCAAGAAATATCTATTACGTTATTTTATTTATATTTTTGGAGTTTACCTATTTAAGTCATAAATCTCCGTGTTTTGAAGTGCGACAGAATGATTGACAAATTAGTTAGTTGTCAAATCTAATGTCAAAAAAACGTTTGTATGGGAAATAGGAAAGGGCTGTTTTTATGGTTTTCCCAGTAATGAATCAATTTTTTTCAGCTTTTATACCTTCCCTGAGCCTCCACGAACATTTCAAGACTAAGATAAGATAAATCCGTTCAGCTGTTCTCGAGTTTTAGCGAGACTAAGGAACAGCAATCCATTTTTATATATATAGAAGATAGAAGAAGAAGATAAGTGCAATTTTACCAAAGCTCTCTATATGGTCTCCTTCATGAGAATGCTTGAATAAGAACAAGTGGTATCTCGCCTGGTCACTTGGAACTTGAGCTGGTAATTCAGACACATTAATTACGGCTGCTTTTGACAAACATATTTTTTCTTCATCTATATCTGTAACATAAAAGATTTCTTTTAATAACATACTGAGTAACATCATACAATCTATTGGATCAATTCAGAACATCATTTCTGTGAATTAGATATATATTTTAATAATGAATACATACTACTAATAAAACAACCTGAATATAAATGATCTCTTTCATTATTCTTATTTTTGTAATATAATGTTAGTTTATCACGAGAATTTATAAAAACACATATGTGCGTTTCAAAGACATAGGCTGTTTGAACACCAATTTCTACAATGTTTATATCCAAAAAACAAAACTGAAATCAATTATTTACAGTGAAATCTACAAAGATTTAAAAAGTTTCGCAAGAAGCACCACTAGTGAAAGGTGTGCAAAATGCTTGTTTTGATTTTACTATGAAATTAATAATCAATTTGTATATTTTCATTAATGATAATATTATGAGTTTATGGTATAAGTATCCGAAGTTAGAGAATTATAATATATATGTGTGGCAGTAGCATGCACAGAGATTAGAGGTAGCGTGAGCAGAACATGTTTGAAAAATAAAATACCAATTTTCATCAGTTCCTCCTCTAAAACATCGATAATAATGATATATTTCGAAAGTATTGATTTAAATTTTAAATGAAAATTATATATTTTTTTTATTTTTAACGGACAGACGAGATGTTTGCCGTGATCACGGTTGCTACAAAGTAATCGATATGTCGGGAGTACGTAGTTTTTAAACATAATAAAATACTAGTACTAGTAATCGGAAAAATATTAATTTCATTTAAACAATGATAATATTCGCGCATAATGTTACAGCAGTTTCAGACTCTGGCTAAAGCTGGGAAATTGCCAGGAAGAAGAAGAATGTTACAGCAGTCCGATCAGAACGAACATCTACATATATGCTTCATGTATATCTCAACTACCTTAAGGCTTAGCCACGACAGTACCCTAAAACGATTACGATCTATTTATCAGTTTTATAAAAGTTATTTAAATAGAAATATACAGTGGAGATTCAAACATTCTTATTATTATCATTTGAAAACAACAAACAAGGCAAACAGAATAACCTTATTTGTGTGTACACAACCTGCTAACTAATTAAAACTATTATAATACCTTTTATTATAACGAATAACATTACCTTTCTTTTAGTTCAATCTCAACCGGTCACACACCTTCCCTTTACACTTAAATTAATTTTATTATCAAACGACAATATTGAACATCTACTCGTATTTCATTACGATAAACACACATCACAAGCACAGAGCTCACAGCTATATTTTCCATATTTCGTTAATTAATTAATCCACTGGTTACTAGTTAACCAATTAAAACTTCTTCACTTGCGCTTAGAAAGACAAATGACGAAAAAATATATGAACAGTTTACCGACCAATCAGAGAGTCCTGTTTCATTTGTGAATTAACGGACTTTCTACGAAATTTTAAACAATATGCTTACTTTAAAAACACGATGCATGTGTTAGTTTTACACACAACATAGAAACATTTCCTGTATGCATTCACGAGATTTGTAGATCGTCCTTGAGAATTTTTGTATGGAAAATAAATAGAGAGTGTTTGTGTATACCGCCACTCTGGCTGCATAGCGGCGCTAGCAGTTAGCAGGGGCCGATCGAAAATGTTTCGTTTTTACATTGATAGATGGCACTTTCAACAAATCATTAATCAAACGTATTTTAAATGTCTGTTAACATTTGTATTTCGTCATGTATGATTAAAAGTATGTAAGTAAGAATTAAAGAATATAAGTTTAATGAAATCTAAGATTTTCGCGAGTACTCATTTCAATGAAACTAATATTTTCAGATTTACTACGTCGTTTTTTATTTTTGACTATAAACTACATACGACGTATGAGAGACTATAGAGAGAGAGAGTATTGAGACAGACACTCACATCTCGTCTGCCCGTGATCACGGTGGCTGTAAAGTAACCGAAATGTCTATAGTATGTTGTTTATAGTCAAAAATAAAACCACGTAGTAAATCCGAAAATATTACTTTCATTCAATATAGGTTTAGTTGTTATATGGGTAGGATATACAGTGCTTATTTGCATCTATGGTGTGCACGCCACTGAAGTGTGGTGGACATTACAGGAAAGACAAATGGCTATTGCTCGTGCTGTCCTTGGTGAAATGTTTTAACAATCATCAAAACTAATTCATAAAAGCAGAAAGTAAATATAATAATTTGTACCTATTTTGAACTGTAAATAGTTGTAGGAACCTCGTTGGAGATCAATAATACCCTGTTTTGTTGATTCAGTTATTGGGAATGCTATCCCTCCCATTGTTGACTGTCTGAAAAAGTGAAATTAATATTTTTAATAGTAATATTGCTCTTATGATGCACCTTTTTAAAAATATTGCATAAAAACTTATTGTTTAATTTAATTTTACTTTTAAAGTCTAAGAAGAAAAAATGAAAGTATTTTTTAAAATTAATTTCTAGAATCACATCATTAAATTATAGAATTAATTTCAAAATCTTTTATTTTCATGTTATCACTAGTATTTTAAAAATATAAGAGATTATTTTTACTTCAAATATCCACTTAAAATTACTACGAAAATAATAAAAAATATCATTTGCAAGAAATGAAAATTTGTTATACTTATTTTTAAATTTGTATTAAACATTACTACTCTATCCACATTTTATGTCTGTAGAATAGAAATAGTAATGACTATTAAAAATCCTTATAACATGGTGAACAAGTAAATCCAAAGCTTGACACACTTACTGTACATGAATTGTTTAGTATTTTGTTTCATGTACAAGTTTCCTATACATTTGAATTAAACCCACCTGGCATCAGTTCCATAGTTAGGGTCATGTCCACTTTCCTGTAATTCTTTTAAAGCTTCCTCTCTATCAGTGAGTGGTGCGGGGGAATTCACTCCACTGACATGGGCCTTGTAGCCTTTGAGACATACTTCATCCTAAAAACAAATAATTGAAGCCAAATTATAAAAAGAAAATCATAGTGTTAGCTTTCAGTTATCTGAAATTTTAAAACTATAATAGAAGATAATGTAGAAATGTCTGGAATTGCTTGGACTTTCAAATTAACTTTTTTACTTTTTGTAGATACCACTATAAAAAATGCATGTTTCAAAAATTTGTGTGACTGTTGGTTCCCATTAATCTCTAGAAGGTAATGTTTAAGTTTAAATAAATAATTAAAGCAACTTTTGACCTCTTTAAAAATGAGGAAGTTCTGAATTACACTTTGTTTGTTACACCATTCATTATCTTCAAAATAATTTTCATAATTGAAAGGGCATTGTTCTAAATAATTTCTATTATTAAAGTTATCCCAAATCAGTAATCTATAAAGGTTTCTTAATAAATCATATGAAACTTCATTTATACTCTACTAATCATCAGGCATATAAAAATCAGTTAGATTTATCTAAAACTAATATAATGTATCATATTTTTGGACTTAATCACATATATTTATTATGTATTGTAACAATGTACCTTGCTTGTGGCATGCATTTCATCCTTTATATGGGCCGATCCAAATTCCTGTTTTAGTGTTGCTTTCGTTGAAGCGTACAACATTTTGTGTCTTACTGGAGCTGAGTCTGGCGACCAACTCAACAGGAGCCACTCATAGCCGAGGGAATTTGTTGTATCAAATCTGTAATATGTTGTTTTAAATAAAGAAATATAATATATTCATATTATTATAAGCATAGACATACATATTATAGTTCAAGAGATTCTTCTGAATGTGATAATCAAATTCATAATGATAGCTACAGGCCATTAAGGATCATGGTAAATAGAGATTATAAGTAGAGAGCTACAACCTACTAAAAGAGTTGGACATGTAAAGAACTAATATTAATTCATTCTTGGAACATACTTCAAAGACAGCTTAGGTTCTTTTCAGATTTGATTAGGTAGTGAGACAAGTTTGGTCAGTGGAGGTGAGTGTTTAATCTGCATTAGAGAGGGGCCCCTTAAACCTACACCTGCAATGCAATGGACTCAGCACCCACACAATGAGTCCAATAAATGCTAAGAGATTTCACCTCTCTACCTTAGCTTAATATTATTACTATATTTGTAAAGTTTTCTAGCATAATACTGGCACCAATTTTTAAATTATAAAAAGCAAATAAAATTTTAGTTCAGTACATTATTATTACCTGTATAAAATATAGCATGGCAAGTCTTCAACTATCAGTGACGGAACATACTTATCAAAATCACTATCAAATGTACTTTTAACAGGATAGTGTTTAGCTAATGTTAGTTGTTCTGTAATAAAATAAATATTGATTTAATCTACTTTATCAGATTAATATTATGATGATCAATATTTTTATTAATATTACCATTTTCTATGCTAATTTTTAAGACTCGAATTTTCCCATCTCTACACTTACTGAAGTATTTCTTCAATTCATTATTAGCTGAAACATATACAAAAGTATATTAAAATTATTTCCTGTACAAAAATATAACGCCATGTTAAGGACAAATATATCGAATTTCATAGTCATTAAAGGAAAACGATTTTTTGCATTTCAAATATTTTACAAATATTTTAAAAAGTTTAAATATACTGCAATATGGTGAATATGAAGATGCAATGTAAAAATACGTTCCAGTCCATTACCATAATATAAATTGCTTTCCCTCAGTCACACCTATAAATATGTGAAATACTGTTATATTTATAGATTTTATCGGATTGCATTCAATTAAAATCTAATCTCTTGAATTACACTCTAATGTTTTTGTTTATTACAATCTTATGTTTTTATCTATACGTCATAAATGTAAGTATTAATCATTGAAATTTACTTACTATTAATAAGACCGACAACACCAAAACAAGAATAAAAATGATGAAATACCTTGTATTCCAGTTTGATGGGACATATTGTATGTATTAAGATCGTATCTTAATGTATGAATTGCTTCGTATATTACTCTGAAATATGAATTATTTCCGTTTTTTAGAAATATAATTTATAACGGGAGTCTATGTAGGCGAAGAGTGATTAGTGATTAAAAAGATATAACAGCTGTCATACGTCTTAGTTCTAAGTTCTGACACATTGAATAGAATTACATACCAACGTCCAACTGTCATTTACAATAACACCAAAGACAACAAAAATAGTCGAATTGGGCATCAAGACACGATAATTTGGCTTTGTAATATTGTATTCTAAATTAGTAATAAAAGGATTAATGTATGTTTAATGCTTTGAAAATCTATTTTTACATGTTTTGTAAAACTTTTAATTAAATTTACGATATTCGAAATGGGTATTGACAATATATTAATTGAAATAAATATAAAAGTACAATATAGTTGTTCTGACATTTAAAATAAATTCATATATGTAATTATATCTTTCAGATATATTTTTAAGTCGTTGAAATAAGTTGCTATAAATAATTCAGTTTAGTCAATGGTTTTATTATCACTTATTTAGTAGGGACAAAGTAAAAAAAGTATAATGCCGATCACACCTTATAGTATAATTGCACAAGACTTGTATAAATTTACGTATTTAAGGTGATCAAAAATGGCTTATCCTGCTTGCATAAATGTCATATCTGTGATACTTGTTTAAGTGAGCATACATGCTCTTGCTACTTTAATGCTATGGATGACGCAATGAGAGTAGACAGTAGTTGACTTTTTTATAGCGACCAAAAAAACTGATAATTCAGAAGAGACACCGAATTCTATGAACTAAAGACTGGTTATTTTTCCCCTGTTCTGGTATTTTTTTCTTTTTGTTTCTCAAAGACATAGTTCATCCCCATATTTATTTATAAATACTTCTATCATAGCGCAAGATCCGTCCTCTTGGTAGTGACATTCATGTAGGCGCGAAAATGACGTCAAAATAAACTAGAAAAATACTGTAACCTGCTCTGAAAGCAAACTCGTTTTAAGAGCTTGTATGGGTCGAAAATTTGCAAAAAAAAATCCAACACACGCTTCAGTATCCTTGTGTAAGTGCAAGCGTTACTTGCACGAGTGTACTGTAAAGTGACATTTGACATGTGACATGTGACATTGTAGATGGCATAACCTTTTTTTTTTGATTATGTTCGTTCCCTTCAAAGCAGGCAAAGAGAACAAAGCTCATACAGTCTTTTCTTTTGTATTTTGTATCTTTAATTATTTTTAAATGTCTTAATCTCCTTTTTTATTCCTGACTCAAGTTCTTATATCAGGCCTAAGCCATGTTTTCTTTTAATTTTCTTCTTAAAACATTTTTTTTTATTTTAAGGCCGAAGCCATGTCTTCTTTTAATTTTTCTTCTTGAATCATTTTTAAATAATAAGGCCGAAGTCATGTCTTTAATTAAAATATTTTTTTTTGTCAAATTCTTGTTTTTTTTTTACATTCCGTCTTTTTTCATTGTCAAGTCCTTGTAATGTCATTTTTAGTACAATTCATTTGTCACAATCGAAAAAACGGTCAAATTCTGAAAATAGCTGACAAACAAATATTTTAAACAAAACGAAAAAAATTATATTATATACACATGTACATATGTACATATGTAAGTCAGTGGTGGCTCAAAGTTTAAAGGGTCCGCCTCTCGTCGCCGAGGGCGCGGGTTCGATCCTGGCCCGGGCAAGTACCAATGTGATTTTTCCGAATCATATGTACTTTCTAAGAGTATTTAGACATCACTGATTAATGTTGATTCCCAAAAAGAGGGTTGATGTTAGGCAGGCGGCCGGTCGTAAAAACAAATAGCCAAAAACTTTTCACAACATGTAAGGCAGACCCTGGCTATAGCTGAGAAATTGCCAGGCAGAAGAAGAAGATGTACATATAACAATTAGATTTCATTTATAGTAGAAACAATAAATCCATAAACTGGCAAGAACCATTCTTGAATGCCTAGTATTTGCTGAAGGGAGCGCGGGATAGGGTTGCCAACCGTACTATAATATATAGTATTGTACTATATTTCGGGTCTGCGTACTATATACTGTTGAAAAAATATATAGTATGTAAAAATACTATATTTTCAACACCGACAAATCTAACAAACAAATCCCTAATTTAATAAAAATAAGAACTCGCCTTTAAAGTACCCGATAGGCGATAACATCCGAACGCTTGCGTTACGAACTTGTCAATGTCAAATTGACAACGTCAATTTTGACGTCGTCAAACGAGATTTTGGTCTGCTTTATTTATTTATCGGCAGAATTGTTTTCAATTAGATGTTGTTATTTCATTTGAAAAGTGGAAATCCTAAATAAATTAGGTATAGAAAGTGGTAGTGATAACGAATGTGCGTCAAATTCTAGTGCGCCGCTAGCGCCAACTAAAAAACGAAAAATAATAAAAAGACTCAAAATAAACAGAAAGGATATTTTCGGTTATGAATTCGAAGTGGCGAGAAGAAAGAAACAGAAGTAGTAGATCATGAATAAAAAATGAGCTTTTGATTTATATTATTTTAAAAATTGAATCTGACAAAGCATATGACACTTTTATTTTAAACAAAAAACTGTTACACTGTGCAAGAAGTGCAAAAAAAAATATGGTTTCTATAAAAATAAATAATTAAAAAATAAATATTTGTCTCTTTTTTTGTTTTTCCCATAAAATATTATATTTCTTTTAAATGTACTATATTTTTTTACAAATTATTTTGGAAAATACTATATTTCGCTGATGAAATGTTGGCAACCCTAGCGCGGGATATCTTCAGCAGTTTTAAAAATACTTAAAAGTTGGTCTACAAGGACCATTCTTTGAATACCAAACTGTGGACAATCGAAAAATATATGTTCGAGGGTTTCATCAGCACTATTGCAATATCTACAAGTTGATGAGTCAAAAACACCAATCCTAAAAAGGTGAGCACCAAAACTACAATGTCCCAGACGCAAACGACAGATTGTGGTGTAATACTTTCTATGGCTATAGTCACTTTTACCTTTACCACCTGATGCCATAAGTTGTAAAATTCTTTCTGTAACTTGAGTTTGAAGAGGGATAGAGCGTCTGAATAAAGAATTGGGAAATTTAAAAAGCTATGACTTAACTGATTGTGGGCCGGATTTGTAATAAATTTAGCTAAATAGTCTGCTTGCTCATTACCATGCACACTAATGTGGGCTGGTGTCCAGAATAGGACTATTCACTTGTTGTGAGACAGTAGGTGATACAACTCTCTTATTTTATATATAATATAGTTAGTTTTTGAATTGAATTGTGGATTTTGTAGTGCTGTTAATAAACTTAAACTATCTATTATTATAATCCACTTTTGATGAGTCTATGTTTGAATGTGCTCCATAGCTGTGTATACAGCTCCATAGCTGTGTATACAGAGTAATAAGGCCATACCATGCTAGAAAATATATTATGTTTATTAAAAATTTGTTCTGTTTCAGAAAAACCTTGAAACAAATATGAATTAATATTGGCAGTCCTGTTAATAGTGTCCCGCAGTTTAACAAGAAGAGGATGATTACTAATGGAGAGCAACCTTGCAAAAAATTTTGATTGTAAGTATTTAAACCTAAGTGCTACTGGAGGTATATTACATTCCACCTGCAATGACACTATGGGAGTAGTTTGCATGGCACCCATTATAATATGCAAACATTTATTTTGTATCTTTTCTAATTTGTCTACTATAGTTTTTACCCCTGCAAAACAAAAAAAAGCATACATATTCAAAATTACTCCTTACTAATGATTTATACAATGTTAATAGAATCCTTGTATCAGCACCTCAATATGTGCTTGTTAATGATTTTAAAACATTACAAGCATTTAAAGCTCGAGATTCTAGAGTTTAAGCATACTTATTCCATAATATTTCCATAAAATTGTTTGTAAAAATAACACCTAAAAACTTTACAGAGCTCTCTACAGATATTACATTATTATTGAACAAAGTATTTACATTCCCATTTCTAATTCCATTTTTTGAAAAGACAACAACTTTACTTTTTTCAATGCTGACCTCCAGCACAAGGCTATCAAAATAGTTCTTTAGTCTTTGGAGAGCAACAATGAGGACTGATTGTACAAGTAAAAAATTAGTATTAGAGCAATAAACAACTAAATCATCTACAAACTGCAGATTAGATACTTCACACCCCAGAGTTAAATTTAGCCGATGTATGAATAGGATAAGAAGCAGTGGGCTCAATACACCACTACAAGAATATCTTGGACCAAATAACTGATTGTTAACCTTAACAAACACCTTTCTGTAGTTAAAAAAATTAAAAATCCAATTTACAACTTTTCCAGGTACCCGCAGTAATAATAATACTGAGGATACTTTGTTCAGATCTATATTATTGAAAGCCCCTACAATGTCAAGAAAAACACCAACTAGTACTTTATTCTTGGAACAAGTATCATGGATATCCAGACAGAAATGACGTAGACTCTCACAAGCAGAACGGCCACAATGAAAGCCAAACTGATTGTAAGGTAAAAGATTATTATTTTCTATGTGAAAAATTAATCTCTGTTTTATTAATTGTTGAACTAAGTGTAATAGGACGATAAGAATCAGCCAAATTAAAGTCTTTGCCAGGTTTTAATATTGGTATCAAACAGTCAGTTTTATCCTCTGGGATAATAGAAGACGACCATAGACTATTTAATAAGTTAAAAAAATAAACAGTTTGAACATTTAAAAGTTTGAACATTCTGTAGGAAAGCCAATACAGGCCACATGAAAAATCTTTTCTTGAGGCTAAAGCAGATGTTAACTCTTGCAAAGTAAAACAACCGACATGTATGAATTATCACTTTTTACTCCAAGAACATTATCTATACTTATCTGTTGTGAAACAGTATCAGGTGTGTATTTATGTAAAAATGTTTGAACCCAATTGAGGTCAGAAGATAAATTAGAATTCGG